CACGGAATTAGCCTGACCGCACCAATCAAGCAGGGATTTGGTACACAACAACATTATATGGGACGTTTGACGACCCTGGAAAACGAAATCAAACATCGGGAAAGAACCGTTTGCTCTCCATCCCTTTAAAGAAATCACGATTCACAACTTTCCTTACCGATGAACGATCTAAAGTCTCGCTATCTGGGAACAAAACACAGAACTCTTACCTGGATGGATGGTTCAAACTTCATACATATAATTGCACAATCCAATAAACGACCCCTCCCCCGCCACCCCCACTCACTTTACTTTCCCCCTATAGATTGGAATGGTCTCCGACTTTAACTTAATTTCATGTAATATCATGATTGCCCAAAGGCACACTTTATTCATACAACAATTAAAACTTATCGATGATATTCAGTAGAAGACCCCAGTCGGCACCCATTCTTTATTTGACTCTTCTGATTCCAGCAAATCTTGCGACAAATAAACAACAAATGTAATTCTTTCGGCCTAACTGCAGGGATTTTTCATATCTGAACGTTGTTGTCTATTTAAACAGGGTGTGTATAGACTGTGTTATTAGTTTTTATCATACGTTTATGTACGGGTGATGTTTTGGGTACAACATACACACGTTCGAATCTACAATGAAATTGACATACAATATACATGACGTACGGCGAGACAGATGGTCTAGTATCACACAGAGTCCGTTTTATGGGCTGGCGTAAGGTAAGCATATCTAATTTATTAAATTATAAAATGTTTTCATGTTAGACCAATTCCGAACACAGATCCGGTAGACATCGCCCTGAGCGTATGGTTATAGGAAAACTGCTGGTGTTAGCAATGGAGACGGAGACCTAATAGGGGCAGGATAGCAAGCCGCCGAACACCTATAGAAGCTAATTACAGTGTGCACGCACAGGCATCACATGGAAATTAGACTGCGTCGTAATAATAAAGAACCCCAGCGTGGACGCGCTTGTGCGTCCGCCTCTGTAATAAAAACAGGCCAATATCACGGGGTGTTTTGGCTACAAAAGTTTCCGCCATTGAATTAAAACTGTTATAGGAAGATACTAGAAATTCAGTGTGTTTTTTATATTGATCTTGTAAAATTTCCTTTCCATGCCATCATTGGGATATGTGCACAAAATACGTTATCAGCGGGTGAACGTGATACAATAGTTTTTTGTTCACTCCTTTAATGTAGAGAGCAATTTTAATAGCTGTTCGTCTTGAACAACTTCTGATGCTATCATAGCTGTTCTACATGAACTATACTTTGCTCTCGGAAATCACACTCACATCGGTGACACCTTGTTTCTTGTGATGTGTCTATATATCTTCGAGATAGAGTTAGTTGTGTGGTTAAGGCGTTTTCACTATCTTCATCACTAGCCCTCCACCTCTAGGTCGTGGGTTGGAGGACTTTGTGGGGCAGTCACCAAGTACTGGCCTGATGTAGGTGGTTTTTTCCTGCACGACCTTAAATGACCCTGGCCGTTAATATAACGTATAGCATAAACAATAGCGTCAGAAGCGTCTAATTAGTTCTGACCAACTACTTCTCATGTACCGTCTCCTTAAGCGTCTTCTTTGATCCGCGACATGTTTTATCTTCTATAGCATGCCGCTTGCTCACTGACACCTTGGCGTCTGAAGCGTCTCCTTTGATCCGTGAAATATAGTACCTTCTATAGCGTCTCGCTTGCTCACTGGCACATTGATTCCTGAAGTGTCTCCTTTAATCCGTGAAATATAGTACCTTCTATAGCGTCTCGCTTGTTCACTGGCACATTGATTCCTGAAGTGTCTCCTTTAATCCGTGAAATATAGTACCTTCTATAGCGTCTCGCTTGTTCACCGGCACATTGATTCCTGAAGTGTCTCCTTTAATCCGTGAAATTTAGTACCTTCTATAGCGTCTCGTTTGCTCCCTGACACCTTGGCGTCTGAAGCGTCTCCTTTTATCCGTGACATATAGTATCTTCTATAGCGTCCCGCTTGCTCACTGACGCATTGGTGTCTGTGGCGTCTCCGTAACTATGACCATGTTTTAAGACACGAATCATTTCTGGAAAGTGAGACAATAAAGTTCCATTTTTCAAAGCCATTGAAAGGCCACAATGGTTGTTTGATCGATGTGATATTGACATTAAATGTTAACAAGCAATTTTAGATTTGCCGAATTTGAAAGAAGCGTTATGACCACGTGTTCATCATTGTGACAAAATGCACTCAAGAGCTGTTGGTTTCAACACAGTGCAGATCCCAAAACAGAGGAGAAAAAAGAAAATGGAAATATTTAAGATTAATTGCTTCGCAACAAGCTCTCGAAGGTCTACGGGAGTGTTAATTCATGCATATAACAAATTGGTCACGCTCTTTCTGTATCGATTGATGAATTCGCCTTTTTTCCTGCGACTAGCCTGGAATGCATTGTTATGCAAAAATTGCAAAGAAACAACAACGAGAAAAAAAATTATGGGTCAACTTTTATGTTTTGAAATCATTTTATACGATAGGTCATATCCATTGTGACAATATGTGATAATGGTAGGTCAGATTTTCCTTCATGAATGAGAGACGTTAAAAATAAACATCCGGTCAAACAATAGGAAATGTTTACGATGTGTAGAGTAGGCGGGATAACTCTTACTGGAATGGAGACAAACACTGATAATAACTTATTTCGTTCATTTTACACAGCATTTCAGAATCATTCTCTGATTGATAAAGGTCTTTGGACGTAAGAGCTCATATTTTTTGTGTCATTGTGTATTTCAAATGTTTGGATGTAGCTGATGTTGCTGAAAACATTCGCGAAATATAATATATACTGTTTAAAACGGGCAAGAAATTACATCCTATAAGTGACGCAAGCAGTGTTTCGTGTCATAAATGGGGATCGCGATGGTGGCGTGTATTAAGGCGTCTGACCGTCTTTTCCACTAACCCTCCACCTGTGGGTCGTGGGTTCGAGACGTACGTGTCGCAGTCGCGAGGGAATAGCCGCAGGTTGGTGGCTTTTCTTCGGGAACTCCAGCTTTCCTGCACCTGGCACCTCCTTAAATGGCTGTTGATAGGTCGTTAGGCTATAAAAGACTAAACTTAACGCAATCATATCCTTCAAACGAATCTCAGTTTTCGAAGAACACTAAAATATACCGACATATCAAACGAGTTTTAGTTTTACTATTAAATCCAGAAGTCTTATGCTTCATCGGTGGTTACAATCCGAGAAAGCGTGATACGCAGTCGTTTAAAAGACTTCTTCTTATGATAAATGAAACCAGACCTAAAATGATAAGTAATAAAAAGGAAACTTTTGATGTAGGAGAAAGTAGACGCTGAAGGTGTTTGATAGTGCAAATTATAGTTTGTGAATTAGATATAGTTTATGTGTAATTAGAAGCAAAGAACTATTTGGCGTATGATCAATTTTGTATGTCAATTAAAAATTAATCAAAAGTAAAATAGAATATTACGAACAAAAATTAGTCCACAAACAAAACTGTAAAAACCAGGCATGGTTTATGATAGTTCGCAATTAGACCTACATGTAAAGCTCAAGATTTCGAGGGATACATGCTGATGCCGACAATGAGGAAATTTAAAGGTTGTCGCAATGAACTCCTTGGGAAATATTCTAAATTTCTGTGTGAGATATGACGTTAAATATGTTTAATGTTCTAGTGTATGCCTTGTAGTTTCGTTGACATTATGTCCATTTTAGAACGTGATACCATTTCCCGGTATTAACCACTATTTATATGGCGGTTATCATCGATGAAGCGGAAGACGTTTCATATTTCCGGAACAAAAAGTCTTACAACCCCTGCACTTTTTCATAGGTCCCTTTGTAAATTTTCGTTTTTTTTTATACTTTACATGTTATCTACTGATTTCTAATGTTGAAGTATCATTATGATAACATTTCGGTAATTTCTTGTTTGTTTTTTTAAACGAAAGTGCCTCTAATTACAATGGTATTTCTAAAATAACGGAGATGCTTTTTATCATTTAGACACCAGTAGCTTGGCTATCACAGTGTCAGCCTGGGGCCAGCTAGAACGGTAGGCAAATCCAACAGTCAGCTTTAAACTCTATAATGTATTTAGAATATTCAAGGGGATGGTTTAGGGACAGATTCCTTACAATCTACAAATTTTTATAGAAATCCTTTTTTTATTTTTTTTTTCATTTTCAGATATAACATATGTCACGGAAACAAACAACAGCACCGACATGTCCTCAAGCTCATAATTTACACGACACATCAGTAATCAAAGGCACCCGAGTTACACATGAGTTAATTTATGCAGCTGAAATTAATTCTGTACCAATATGATGCTCACTGAAGCAGCCACAGCTACTACAATTGTACAAAGGAATCCTACTTCAATTACCCTTGACATTGAACGGGAGACAAATGCAGTATATCTTTAAATCATTTTCAAATCTGTTCTTAAAAAAGCTTTTTTTACTGGATACCTGTTTTGTAGTACGATTTATTAGTTTTGCTTACTGTTGGATTTCCATATATCTGTTTAGATTGTATCTGTATGTCATGCATCGGTATAAAAACATAATACTATGTAGCGCTTATGTCATTAATAATTTCATAATATTAAGGTATTATGACAATATGAAAACATAATTTCTTTAGTTTAAACTCTCTATTGTTCATTTCAACTGATAATACGCTTGAATTAAAGATTTGAAAACAATTATAAAGGGTTTACGTCAACATCGCTTTATTCGTCACCTGGCGGTATGACGTCACTGTCACATACATATATGTAGGCTTAGAATTATATTTTATGTTGATAGAACTCATAACTCTACCTGCCTGTTACGAACATTAACGGCATTTCAAAATAATGATTGATCATCGGAGCGCATTACCATAAATGTTGAAATTGCCCAGGGTGAACATAGATAATGATGTACGACATTCACGTGACCATCTTTGACTGGAAACGCGACTTTGCAAAAATCCAGATATGGGATATACGTGGTGGATTGTAATATTATTTTTGGCACTTGCAGAAGCACAGGTGTCCAAATCTGTGTACAAACTAAGTATTGTTTGTGAAAAGGAAGGGCGTTTAGTGGAGGCCCTGGATAGGTATATCAGGAGTTCCCTGGCGAATAAGTCGCACGTTGATGAACAGATACAAAGGTAAAGCTTTTGGGTGACATTCCACCTTAATGCATTATAAGCTATTTGCTTAGTTACTAACCGTCTCAGGAAAAGTAGAATACAAGTATTAATTATAAGAGTTGAGGCAAATAAGACATTCACATATAAAAGTATATCAATCTGCCTTTGACTGTAGTAGTTTTTCGTATGTAAAATAGTTTCTAGTTGGTTTGTTGTGTGTCAAAGGTCAATAATCAGTTTCTTTGTAAATAAACATGCACTAGATATGATAGAATCATGTGTTTCGTTCAAATTCTAAAAAAGCAAAACAATGCTAAACGTGAATGTAGCCACCACTATATTTAAGTGTGATATACAACGAGATAGTGTTGGTGTGCAAAATAAACCAATACACCCTAAAACATTTTGTTTCAGTTTACAATATATATACAAAACAGTCAAACAGGTATTTTGATCGTGTACAAAATGTCAAGGTAGCCAAAATGCTATTTTGTTCGTGTGCAGGATATCTAGGTAGTAAAAATGCTATTCTGTTCCTATACAAGATATCAAGATAGACACAATGCTATTCTGTTCCTGTACAAGATATCAAGATAGCCAAAAAGCTATTTTGTTCGTGTACAGGATATCAAGGTAGTAAAAATGCTATTCTGTTCATGTTCATTCTGTTCATGTACAAGCTATCAAGATATCCAGACAGTCAAAATGCGATTTTATTCCTGTGCAAGAAAATTTTTTTTGTAATGGTACAAGGTACCAAGGTGATCAAAATAGCAAATAATTTTATTTTCGATATTATACAAAATCGTTTTAATCATAATAAGGTACGAAAGTATGTTGTAACAGACTAAGATAACCACATAGATTACCATTGTGGTAGATAAAAGTAAGGACATAAAAAAATAACCAAGATATTTTATTGGTGTACAAAATGTACTTATGCAATGTATACGCTTACCATGTATCTATATAAATATAATTATTCATTTGTGTCAGATGTGAGTGTTGATTTGTCTGATGCACAACGGATACACAAACACAGATATTTCGTATTGTTTTTATCATTTCAGGTAGAAAAAGTATTATACATATACAAAAAATATACGTAACATTTGTTGTTGACAAACTCCTTTTGGTGGCATTCATGAATTGTTCTCGTTGTAGGGTTGTACATAATACTACGATAATAGTAATGGTATCCACTACAGGTACCCTTTCTATGAACAGATTTCACAACGTGTAAGCCTATGTGTTAGTTGCAAAATACAACAGTATTGTTGACGCATTTACTTGTCTTTCTTGTGAAAAAATAATTTATATCATAATTGTCATTCATATATCGTTTTATTTCTAATTTTCAAGTTTTCATGAAAATACTAAAGAAAAAAGGCCCAGAAATAATGACACAACTGAATGGGTCGGCCATCCAATAAACGCATTCCACTTGGTCGAGCGGGCAGCTAACGGCTGGCAGAAGGTCAAGAAAAGAATCAATTGTAGTGATTGTGATCTGACCACGGCGAATCAGGGTAAGCCAAGAAAAGGTGTCTTAGAAGCAGCAATCAGAATTATACAAATTATTTAACTTTGTTGTCAATATGGATTCCTATAGAGGTGGAATTAAGCAGTATCAAAAACATGTTTTTAATGTGTAAACCTAAACTCACCTGACCAATGCTCGAACACAACATACAAATGTAGTTTTTCTTTGTTGATTTTTGTTTTCGTTTGTTTGGTTTTCGCTGTTTTAATCTGAATACTTGTCAATGATTTTAAATTATTGTTGGCTAAACATAGGTGAGACACAACATGTTCAAGTTTAGCTATGTTAAAATCACATACAGTTGTTAGATTATCAGCAGTTGGTCTAACGACACCAGTGTAATAGTTGGTACCGGCAGAAGTCGGAGCCTATGCTCGAACGTCCCGTTAAAACATTAATTATGTTCAATGTTGTTGTAATGTCGTTATATGGATGATAATATTCAAGCCTCTCTTTCACAAAAAACATAATAGACTATTTTCTAGCATGGGTTTTATGGGAGAGATGTGAATTAATATTTTGGTTTTTACTGAAGTTAAATCCACATTCAAAGCAATTAATTTTCTTTTGAAAAATATTTTTATTACGATTATTTCAGAGAAGACGAAAAATAAAGTACGCAAACTTTAAAGGAACTGCCTTTTGTTTTGACAGTTGTCACGCGCATCAGGATCAGCTGTACAGTCGTTTGCTGCATTCAGATTTCCATCATAGTTCGAGAACTTTTCCTTATTGATGTTTAGAGATCGAAACGTGTCATTGCATCCCATAATTACCATTCATAATATGTGGGAAAACTCGGATGTTTTCTGGAATGAAAACAGAAAATAAAAGTTTTCGTACGCTGTTCGCGTTCGTGCAATGGTCATGTCAGTATTTAAAAATTAATACTGTATGGCAAATGGAAATTAAACACAATCGATAAAAACATTTATTTTACTTACATTTTAAAGCAGTTTTAAAAAGAAAAAAATATATTCTTGTTAAACGTTTTAATTGAGGAAAGTATTTTGAACGAAAGTTACTGAGCTCACTCATGTTAGGAGTAAAAACAAGTAATACATTTGCTCAAGTATTCTTAGACCACAACGGTGTGGAAATGAAATGCTATACATATGTGTATAATTCGTCAAATTTAATCATACGCTGATGACAGAAGAACACATTTTCAGATAGATATTAATTTTCCTTTTTAACAGACTTTCTTTCGATCTGGAATGAAGTTGTCGAGGTAGATGGAATCTGGGCACGTGGTCAAGACGTCAACATATCTGCGTATGCACTATGGAGACTTCATGTAACATACAATCTGGATATAAAAGTTCTCATGTCTGGAACAATTTTGAATAGAACCACATTTCCCCTGTCGGTCACAGATGTCATCAGTATAGGTAATTATCTGGACACTGAAGATCAAATTGAATGGTTTGAAGAATTCCTGGAGCTGGCTGACGTAACTGAGAAGGATTCTATTTCATACAAGCTGGCTATGGCATATTACATGGTAGAGTGCGGATTTATTGAGTTTTAACTTACAAAATAATTTCATTGAATATTCAACAATAACACATATATATATGATGCTTATGGGATGGGAAAACAAGCTTACAGATAACGTTAATTCATTTTCCAAATTGAAGATTTTATACCTTAATATGTCTGTTACATGTTTTGAATTCGATACACAACCAACAAAAAAATATATATGCAAATATCGCCATTCCACAAACTGCACGTTATCAGAACAATATGTATGTATTATACCCATAGATACATAATAAACTTTATTAGATCATATCTTTTGTTACAATGGTACAAAAATCATTCAAGTGAATAGCGCCTTTCAGTGTAAATTTATAATTAGATACATCAAAGAGGCAAACGATGTATTAAACTCGTCATGTCTATTGTTTCTTTGTCCTCCTGGTATTCGTCAATGAAGCAGAGGGGTCCGAATTGTTTGAAGCTAGAAGGCAACTGCGAAAATCCAAAGTGATCGAAATAAATGTCAAAAATCCTGATGTACACCAACCCAAAAACGCAATAAATGTCATACATATAATTGTAACTTTTGAAATATTTTAAAAACATGTAAAGTCAATTTGTAAATTCCGAACTGCACAACCATTCAAATGAATAAAAACTTTGTATACAGATAACGGTAAACCTCGGAGACGGGCACTTTATAATTTGTATAATCTTGGAGACCGACACACTTATCAAATAGAACGAAACAACATATACATTAATTCAATGTTTTAGGGGATGAACATTTGGTATGTTTCTAGTCATTCCGTGAAAAATAAAGATATGTATTCTTTTGAACCAGGAAGGCGTTGTATTAACGATTTAATCGTATAAAGCGCATTATATAAATATATGTATAATTTTGATATAATGTTTTATTTTTCATCATCACTGTGCTACGTCAATGGATACAGGCTGACTTTTCCTGGAAATCATTAGCAATTCTGACAGAATTGCAGAAGACAGGTAAGGACGACTGCATCACTGACAACATTTTCATAAAGTCCGTCAATGTTCTTTTTTGAATAGTCAAGTGCAGTCTCGGGCAAATATACATTTTTCATTAATACTAAAAAAGACTAAAAATAAGAGTTCCAGCATTCACTAACTATTGATAAATAATTATTCCGAGATTGAAATTTATTCACCTAGGTTCCATGCCAGTAGAACGCATGATTAAAGTTGTACGGCAGAAAGCGGAGAAATTTGGGAAAGACAGACCAATGAAGAGGATGAAGAGTCCAAAACTCTACATAGCAAAAGTCGATGAAAAATTGTGTCAGGGGAACATACAGGTACCACGTTTTGAATACTTACTCGCGTTCATGGTGGCAAGTCAGAGAGCGAAAATTATGAAATACATATACCAGGAACTATATATCATAGTTTAAGAGATATAATGCTGACGGTAGTTACATTTATTTCAATCTTAATAACAAATCAAATATGGATTGTGAGTCCCTAATTTGAACTGTTTGAAACGATAAAATAATGTTTTTCAATACATTATAAATTAATTTAAAAAGTATCACTACATTAAAGTATATCTCTATAAATATGTTTTATTTAATGTAAATTATCACCAATATTGAATTTAATTATTTTTGAATATCACTCGTGGTTTTGCTTGTCCAGTAAGAAAAGGTCGTGACGTCATAACTTTCCAACTTTCAAACATACCTCAATCAACGCTTGTTGCTAAAACAGGTCAGTGAGTAGCCAAAGTTTTTGATAAGCGCTTTTTTTCGTATTCCCTCACGATAACAGGATATATTTTCGATAACAATTATGTAAATACCGTTTGTTCCTATAAATCTATTTTTCTTATTTCATATTGTTCTAAATTTGGATATCACTTACCTTATAAAATATTTTCAGTCCGATCCAGCGACCCCTGACCTCCATTGTTACAATAAGAAGACACGGATACCCTACTACACAGTTAAAGAGGAAGTACTGAGTAACGTGCCACGGATATCCAGATTCCATGACGTCATATCAGACACAGAAATTTCGCTCCTTCAGGACATTTCCAAACATAAAGTATAGCTTATTAGTTTATAAGATACCAAGTTATATTTGTTACTCAATTTATGAAGATGTTTCATAGATGTATCAAATTCATTGTGCCATGATCAAGTAGCGTAAAGACATTCCAACTAAACAATTAAATTGATTAGGCGAGTTTTATCATATAAATAGTCAACACCTGAACGACTAGAAACATCGATTGATGAAATGTTAATGCTGTCTTGACAAAATTGATGTAATTTCACGTTATTCAATTACTAAGATACGGATTAATAATTACAAACATTTGTAACACACTTAGAGTAAACCGTGAACGTGTTTTGATTGGCTGACAAGATAATCTAGCAAAACTGAGTTACATTTTTTTATATCGATCCGAATATTTGAAGACAATCAACTTGTTAATTACAAGTTAGGATTTGTACAACAATACAACCTAATGTCTTTTATGGCCTGTTTTACTTGTTAGTTAGAAGTATTTCACTACATGTCCTATTGTTACACACTAACAGATATCGTGAATAATACAAACCTTGCCACAGTCAATAATAGTAGTAACTCATCCTTGTAAGTAGAATTAGGTCCAACTAACTGTCGTATATACAGTGTATTTCAGCTCTTGTTGATTTTCTTAGTTATAAACAAAATTCTCTACAGTTCATGTTTTTGTACCGTTTGAAAAATAACGAACATGGGTTAACAAAAACTGAGCTCAAATGTTTGAAATCCCATTGTGTAACCTACATTCTTTCGTTAATATTTGACGATATTTTTGTTTTTCAGCTAGTACCATCTACTACTATTAGAAAGGATAACAGTAGAGCCCAGCATGATGGGAGAATAAGTGAAAGGTAAGCTTTGTAGATAGCGGGAGAATTATATCTATACTAATCTACTGTAATATTGATGCCACGTCGACAACGACTGTCAGCCATCGTATAATTATCATAATGACGCCAGTATTGTAGAAATAGAAATGGTCACGGTTCATAGTTTCAGTGGTTGTTACGCTTGGATGAATGCGTTTTTGACAAAGAAAAAAAATCATATTCGATTTATTCGTGATATAATTGGCATTAGACATTATCATAGGCAAGAAAAATTTAACATAAGCTTTGAACAAACCTGCCTTGTCATTTATGATTGTGAGAAATGATCTGTAAATAAACGATGATGAATACCGAATAAAGACTTAGGTTGCTGGTTGTTTCTGTAATTGTATACCTTTTTTGAGAACGTGACATTACTAACTTGGATTTAATAGCGGGAGTTTTCTATGAAGCAAAAGACATTTACTCTTCCGGAATACCTGGTCTTATTCTCGTTGTACACTTCCATGAATCTCTATTTAAATCGTTCTTTTGTTCATATTTTGCCCTAGTTTTATGGAAATTGAGTTTGGATTATGATTATGTTGACATGTTGTTATTTTCTTGATATTTTTGTTGCATAAACGTTCTAATATATATATGTAAATGAAGGTTATCACTGAACTGATAATGTGCAAATCACGTTTGAAATATTGACATTGTTCAGAAGGTATCAGAAATGAAAAAAATCAGCGTATTAAATTATGGGATCGCAAAATTTAGATTTTGACATTTTTCCTATCACATTGGATAATCCTTTGCCTGCTAGGTTCTCAAAACTAATGACATTAGAATTACTGAAGAGTCATAGAAAGACGAAATAGCTGTTTAATGCAGCTTAACTCATAACTGGACAATACTGTTTCTAATTCTAAATTGATAAAACATGATGCTACTCAGTTGGGTGTCCTTTGAAAATCATTTCCCAAATTTGTATTTTTGCTTTTCTACAAATATATATCCTGCTCCTCATGTTTTCTCAAAACTCCAGTTTCACGGTAAATTGTGCCTTAATTATTTTATGAACTACATCAAGGAATCGGTTGTTTACAAACGATAATGGCTTCATGATTGAAATGTTGGTTCTAGAACAAATTTTGCTAATGTTTCCCATGACTTTGTCAATATCCAAAAATATTTTTAAACAGTGTGTGTGATATATCACTTGATGACTAATTGTTTTGTGAGAAATTAATCAAATGAATCAATACGATGCAAGCTGTAAGTAAATTTACGTCTCGCAACACATACGATACCACAGGAAGGCAGTAGAGGCACATGTGACATTTTGCAATATTTGGCACCAGCAAAATATGTATCAATTTAACTTACCTTGAGATGAACCCAAGTTTGATTTATATGACTCACTTTACAATGACTGCAGTGCATGGATAAGCCCATCAAAGAACGTTTCAAAAAAGCTTGAGCAGAGAATTGAACTTTTGACAGGACTGGACACAATTTTTCGAGTGACAACTGTAACATCTGAGGATATGCAGGTAAACTTTTACTTTTTTCAAGTTTCACTATTAGACGTAGAGAAGCAATCGGTTATTTTTCTCTCTCTCATTTATGACTAGTAATTGTTAATATTTAGAAGTCATAGTACATTGAACTACTTTATCTTTCCAGGTGGTGAACTATGGACTTGGGGGATTTTATGTTCGTCACTTCGACGCAATTTATGTGAGTACCATTTAAATTTGACAGTCACCTTAAATATCCTATATTTAACAAATCATTTTTAATACAAAGGGTATATAATGCTTATAGCAAATGGCTATAGGAAAATGTCTTGGTAGTAAAGAGACCCGAATAGGTTACAACAGTAAAAATTGCAATTTTCCACTTCAATCGATTTAAGTATAATTTTTAAGGTTAATTCATTTGAAAATGATTTATATCGAATTCGACATCAAAATTGGAATATAGTAAAATTTTGGTGTTCTTTTTATAATATAAAATTACGAAAATGTGGCCAGAAAGCCTTTAAGTCGACTCTTTTTGTTTAGTACGTTTCCGGAATTATCATATTAGGAAACTAATGAGGAACTAGTACTATTTAACGCCTGCCAGCCTTTAAAGAATCAATTTAAATGAGATATGATATTTATATATTTAAAGGTTTCTAAACTATCAGAACTTAATTTGAGTTCATTTTTAAATGATTTATTAGTTTTGTACTCATATTATAACAAAAAGATAGGGAAGCAGGGTAGCAGAGACTCCATGAAAAAAGCTTATGGAGACAGAATAGCCACCTGGATGTTTTATGTAAGTACTGACATAAAGGTATTTAACACCTAGACATTATATAAATGTAGAGGCAGTGGTGTGAGAATATTTAGATATTATCTTGTTCTATGAACGCTTTTTATATAACATATGGTAAAATATCAGAATATTGATCGCCGATTTATCAGATAAGTTTTTACTTCTCCTTGCAGAAACTGATAAAAAATAAAACAATATATTTTTTCCTGTTACATATATTTTTTTATTAAAAAAAGACACAAACATGGATGTCACCTTTCAATACAATTAATTTTGAAGTAGATACAGTGGAGCCAATCAGGAAATAATTTGCTGAAAATAAACTATAACTTTTTTATATTTGTGTTACCACAAAGTGCTCAGTGAATAAAATTTGAAGAGGTAAAGGTATAATAGGAAACCAAATCCTTGTTAAATCTCATAATAGACTTGGTGAAGACATGGTAGTTACCTATTGTGAATCATAAGGTTGAGGAAAACCGATGGTTGTTCCTCGAGCAGGATAAGGTAGGATTCTGCGATGATTTGGGTAAAATGATAGGATATTCATCTGTCTTTTAACATAAATATTAAATTGATCGATGTCTGTATCGTGAAAATCGCAAACATTAGTTTTGAAGCTCTCATGGCCTTAGGACAAAGTGAATTATGCGGAATCCGTTGTCAGTCGTCCGTCTGTAAACTTTCCTAGAAAGTGCTACTAATTATGAACGACTGAACAGCTTAGACTAAAGGTCATAATCATAGGGAAATAAAACTCGATTTTTAATAAATGGTGAGCTTTAACACCTGTGGTGCGAGGTACGGGACCAAAAGGGGAAATTTAGGCTATCCTTTAAAATCATTCATCTCGATTTTTGTCCAAATCTGGTCAGATTCATCCTAGTTTAAAACGAAATAATTTTCATGAACATTGGATCTCAACTCCATGGAAGGAGGGACGGGGCAAGTTAGGCCAATAGAGCAATTCTTAAAAATCAATCTTCTTCTGCAGAAATGAATGTAGTCTGTCCCAATTTGTTCTGAAACATCATTGGGTAAATGAAAATAAATTGTGTCCCAATGGCAGGTCTCGGCCCCAGGTCGGGGCCAAATTGTTGAAATAGAACTAATTCTTCTTCTGTACTTATGATCAATTTTGTATAAACTGTAGGTCTCAACCCCCTGGTACATAAGGGTGGAATTTAAAATTGGAGAAATGGAGCATGATTTAAAAAAATGCTACTTTGTCTGTAGGAATGGTAGGATATTGTCTCAATTTGGTCTGCAGCATAATTGGGTGAAGGAGACTTCTGTTTGACAAAGATACAGTAGGGTTGGGATACCAATGAGGAAAAATTTATATAAACCTTTAAATTCCCCTTTCATTTAGTTAGGATGAATCAATTTCAGCCAAAGCATATGAGCGATACTAGCCCAATGGACATCTTAGTTATGCATTTTGTTTTAATGTTATTAGCTCAGCACGGTAGAGGAAGGAGGCGCAACAATCTTCCCAAAACTCAATCTTAGAGTTGTCCCCCTTAAAGTGAGTATAGAAACCACTCTGCTGACATATCACGTTCAAAGACGGTTGATGTAGATTGTCGTGATAAAAATATTAATCTGACTATTTAAGCCTGTCATTTCAAAGTAGCAATCATTAAGTTATCTATACCAAAGACAGATATACAAAGAAATAAACGGACGGAAACTGTTAAAAGATGAAGTAAATAAATATGTTTCCTTTTGTCAGGAGACGTTTGGATAGTTCAACTTTCATGCATATTCTTTTCAATCTGTGTTTTCTGTTGCGCTTTATCGAAATATGTAGTTTTATGGTCAACATTTTAGGGTTCTGCTATCTTTTGGTACAACCTACTGCCGAATGGTGATCTGGACATCCGATCACAACACGCTTCTTGTCCAGTTTTACTGGGGTCAAAATGGAGTAAGTATAAGGATTTATTACACAAGTACCCGGCTATCAGTTTCTTATCACACATAACATGATATTTTGTTATTGCATACGACAAAAAAGCAGCTTCCATTGTTTGCATTGTTACACCATGGATATAAGAGGTCATATGCATTGTGACGTTCTCAAAAAGAGAGGCAGTGGTGTGAGAATAGTGGTGTTTCACAAGTGTTTTAAATTACCAAAACTTTGTGATAACGATATCTTACGTATGTTTCTAATGAAGATTTTACAGAGAAGTAATGTAGCACCATTCAATAAAATGTAAAATTACATAAGATAGATCCATATCATGGATTAAATTTTGTCATACAGCTGTTACGTCTTTTTTGGATTTGTGTGTAATGCTTCTCGCCCTTTTTAGACCTGTCTATGTTGGTAAAGGCCGAAATTGTTCATTCCTAGGAGGCCTCGGAGGACGTTTTTATTTATTGTTCGACAGAAATGTACTAACCTAAAAAAGTCAATAGGTTTCATAATTTTCAATATTTAATATTTCAAAAGTTCGTCAAGTACATTGTGATATTCGGAAAACATTACATTATCAAAATGAATAAGAACATTGTATACAGCTTAGGCCTCGAAAGCTTAAAGCCCAAATATACGTAAAAATCACTATAAAAAAACAAACTTTATTTTATTTTCCCCGTAATATATGTAACAAAACAGATACTTTCCTTTAATTAAAGAAAATAAAACTGACTGTTTTCAATTTAAATAAAAATTGAAAACATCGGAAAATAAAAAAATGTGGGACCCACTATAATTCATACATTACCGATCGTAGCGATGACATTGCGCATGCGCCAATTCCGCGTGTGTAAACATGGCAGACACAGTACATACGTTCACCAATCGCTTCCTTTTTTTTCCAATCATACATCAGGCCAATTCTAAATTTTTACGTTATAATTGTGCGTCGTATCGTTTCTAAACTAATTATTCCTTCTAATAATTTCCCAAAAACTAAATGTTTATCACAGGAATATCTCAAGTCTTCGCAAACAATGTTTGTAAACAAAAACTTACCGTAGACATATCTGCATGTGCTTCCTCTATAAGTAGAAACCTCAACTCTCGCGAGATCAGGTCATGAACTTTCCGACGTGGTTCGGCAACAATCGTAATTTCGATGGCGGCTTGTTTAAAATTGGGATGTGTTTACAAATAGCGAGTTTCAACTGCTCATATATCAATACTTTATGCACAAAGTCATGGTAACTATTGTTTGAATAACTTAATTTTAACTACATCTTAGAGAATATCTCAATAATTATGTGTGATTCTACACTAAATTTTTGGTGAATGTTACGTATATTGGGGCTTTAAAGTCAACATGAGTTATGTATCACCTATAAATACATTTAGTGAATAACACTTTTCAACACAAATCCAGAATTAGGTGGAGTAAAACTAAATTGCTTATGCTTAGGAGACAAACGAAGAATATAGGAATTCCTCGAATGTAAATGAAATCACTTGGTCCAAAAATCAATAGATTTCGTAACTTTTAAATGTTAGACTCATAATTTAGAAAACCTTGGGTACTATAATATCCATCAAACAGTAAAATATTTCTTCTAAATTAACCAAAGTATTGACGTTCACTGATAAGCATTGTTTAACAAAACAAAAGCCAGTACTTTATGGTATACGATACTTGATCAAAACACAGATAACATCCTGTTTTGATGGAACAAATACATTTTAGTTATAGAGTTGGTGATTCTGGCAATTTATGCATAGTCATTATATGAATAATAATTAATGTCTTGTGGATGATCAAACAATAATGATGTTGCTTAAATGAAATAAACATTGTGTCCATTTATCAATGTTTAGGAGCGGATGCTATTATCTTGATTTTTTTTAAATAAAAATAATATGTATTTAGTATGCTTAGTAATCCTGTTTAGACACTTCATCATTGCAAGATTCATATCACTGAACTGTTATGACTCTATAGAGACTGATAGGTATTGTTATAGCTTCGAAAGACCGGAAACCCCTATCAAATAGTCTGGACAGCGCGAGATGCATTCTCAATAAAGAGTGTATAAAATTGCTTAATTTTCGAAATGCACAATCGCAATAAGTATATAGGGGCTGTTTGTGTTTGCAACTGAAATGTCCATAAGTCGATACCGCTGCGAATAATGAGTGTACGGTATATTGATTTCTTTGAGAACAAATTTTTATATAGTTATTGAATATTGATCTGTCCAAGTCCAAGTGGTTAAGCGCTTTGACCGTCTTTATCACTTGCCCTCCGCTTCTGGGTTGCGCTTTCGAGGTTTTTGGTCAGTTTATATATACGGTATTTTGTTTAAGAACACATCCTTTTTGTACAGGTAGTAAATATTGATATGTCTTCAAATATACATCAAACACCTATATCGCTCTGTTGAAATTATCATTTTTTTTCTTTCTACCCATTCAAAAATTTCATAAACAGAACGATATATTTTACAAACAAGATTTTAATGTATAAAAGACGATCACCAATTATTAACAATACATGTACAATGTTATCATGTTGTCACATATACAAATTACCGTTTGCAATGTTCTACAAGCATTTATTCAAATTTGTAGATTTTAATTTAATCATCATACAAATGAAAACTGTACATAGTTTAGATAGCGTTGAGGTACGACCGCTGTTCACCAACAGATAGCACGTACGTTGTATGTACAACTAATATAGAGCAGATGGGCTACGCAGTTGATAGGTTTCACCTGATAGGGTGCCTGTGTTCTGAATGCCGGGGAGAAAGGGAAATTACCGACTCTATGCAAAAATGGTGTCTAACAGACAGTTATATAATTGCGTATAGGGACATGGCAAATAGCACGATATATGCTTCCTTGTTATGTTCCCGGGGTTCTATAATATAAATCATTTATATATAATACTGTTTAGTGTACTGATTTAGCTAAATTTTTTTTTCATTTAGTGTCGATGACTACTTATCAAGTGCGCCACACGTTTTGTTAACATGCCTGGGGCGGATAAGATAGGTGGCGACCATTATGTACTATCCGTTACCTGTGTAATGATCTCATTGAAAAAGTAATTTTCCCGTCTTAAAATGTAATAATGTATACATTTATATATGTGCTCAGTGTTTTAATTTCACTTTAATATAAGCACTCGATTTATTTAGTTTTTTTTCCATCTTTTTAGTTGCAACGAAGTGGATACTAGAACATAGCCAAGTCTTCCGGAAGCCTTGTAAAATACACTCAATGGAGGAGCATTACTGACTTTCTATGAAGTAATGGCGGAACAAGTTTTGTAGAGAAAATAGCAAGAACAACAATGCCCTTCCGACAAAATAATATCTGGATATCTTTGAAGTTATATAGGCTAGCAAAGTAATGTTAATGAAATTATACATATATATTTTTTTTTGCTTGAAAGTTAAGATATAAGAGGATAAGAGGACACTATTTACAACACAAGCTCAACCAAAAAAACATAAGAAGTTATATTAATCTCCGTAATATGTTCACTTGACTAATACAAATGCTAAATGTTTAAAAAAAATTCACGTGAAAAAAGATCTTTTTTTTAAAAAAAAAAGGTACATATTCTTTGAACACATGGATATAGCATTCAAAATTAAACGCCAGTGAAGACTAGCCTCCCTCCTGTCTGGCCTCCTCTCTTCTCAACTGGCAGACTAAGACAGGTCTATTCATACCAAATGTTTGACACATAAGTAAAACGTGGTATCTAAGGATGTGGTCATTTCTATGTGTATTGCTTAATGAAATTGGTATGTCTGTGTGTAAAATAACCATGCAAAATTGAAGTGGTTCTTTATATGAAAATGAATAATAAAGAAAAAAAACCCTGTTCAAATGGTACACGAATCCAACCTGTATGAATATCAACTTTTTTTTCATAACATAAAATGTGAAATTTCAGTATGCATATAATACTAACTAAATATGGAAATGGCATAAATCGACATTAATCATTACAAGTGTTTTAAGTTTAATTGTATTTTTTAAAGTGTAAGTCAAATACCACTTGTTCATAAGAAAATAAGACCATTTTAAATACTAATAATTTCTTACGAACAAATTAAGATAAGATAAGATAAGAAAATGATAATCAAGTTTGAAGGAAAGCATGAGCATATTAAATTTTATATCGATATTTCAAAATGGTGAAACAAGAGTAAATAGATCACAAACTATATTATTCAATATACACTTAAATTTCAATTTTCTGGAAATGTTCATCATGTGCTTGATCATAACGGGAGTTAAATAATGTGCTTCTTTTTTATGCAAAATCATCTTTTTCACAAGCGATGACGTTTCGTCCAATGAATGGCTGATACTAAGGTGTGAATTACTGAAAAGTCCCAGAAACGTCCCTCTTGTGTTTGTTGATGCGATGTCCAGATGTGGAATAGAAAAGATAATTTTCTTCCCTTCATGAAACTACTTCGGGTATTTCCTAAACTTTGTTTTTCTAACTGATGCAATTATTTCATTGATCGAGACATACATAATATAAATCTGTCAAAACACAGGAGAGCTCTCATACTTAAACACATCCTTCACACTTCTCGCACACAATTCAAGTCTTGCATGTTCCTATTTCTAACCAAATAGTGGATTTCAAGCATTTTCTTGACTAAGACGCAATTACAATATCAGTCATTAGTAATTATAAAATATCCTAGCATAACATAACACTCACCCCTGTAGAATTTCCCATATCCTAATATTAATTACCATAAGTTTATTATCCCTATTCAAATGGCATTCCCTTTGTTATTTTACAAGCAGCTTTATACCTTGCACATACGATACATTACTATTTTTTACACATAGATACACAAAAAACATAGGATCTAAATCTAGCCATTTTTCTATTTCTATTGTCTTACTTTTGTTTACATATATCAATCAAAGTTTGGTATACACTCTTTCATTCGGTAATAGTGAATGTAATGTTTTAACAATAGAATATAATAATTTAAGCAAGGCCCAAACATTGGATTTTCAAACAAAATGTCTACATCTTTAAAGGATATAAAATTGAATTGATTTTTGTATAGTGCATACCAAGCAGTAAATTCTTCAATAAGTAGGACTATGAAATGACACTCAGTGAAAAAGTGTTCCACTGTTTCTGGTTCTCTTTCATAAAAGGTATAAAGCTCACTAGATCTTATGTTCATGTTTTACTAAAATAGAGTTAGTGGAAAGAATTCTGTGACAGATTTTATATTGGAATACTTGAAGTTTGGTTTCATGCTTCCATACAAATATCTTTTTGTTTTCCATTTTTCCTGACACTTTAATTACTTTTTGTAGTTTTCCTTCTTTATACCGTCTTGAGCCATCTTTTAAACTTCTGTCATCTCATTTGAAAAGAGAAGTGCTTTCTTTGTGTACCTTATTCTGTCTCTATGCTTTGTCGCTTCAGCTCATCTATCTCCCACTGTTTCCCTTGTAGATATTCCTCTTATCTATCGTTATTTGATGAACAGTATCCAATTTCTGTCTCATTCTAGTATTCTCTTAGAAATCCTCTGTTCTAAATCTCTCTCTGTAGGTCTTTCCTGAGAGCCGCCACTGTGGTACTCACTATCTCCTGACTTTCCATGGATTTCACCAATCCTACAGCTTATGCTATTAAGTCTGCTTTCTATACCATATTATCTCCTGTGTCTTTATTTCTGCTATATCATCGCTGATATCTTCATCTACTACAACACTCTGCCTTGTTGAAGGACCCACTCCTGGTCTACCAGTTTTGTGTTAGTAGACATGGCTTTATAACACAGACAAATCCATGTAAGAAAGTTAAGTATCTATGCAAGTGTATAGTCATGGTTGGTAATCAAGGTGTACATGTGGCAGAATTGCAGGTGCATACAGTTCACAGTCACCACAGTTCTAAACATTTTTTCCTCCAAAATCATCAAATCCAAAGTTCAGTTTTAGAATCCAATACTATCAGTGTTTTCTAAAAGCTTTTATACACCTGTGTGACAAAACTGTAAATGAAACTCCGCGTGACAAAACTGTAAATGAAACTCCGCGTGACAAAACTGTAAATGAAACTCCGCAAAGAAACATAGATGAATCCTCAAAACATCAGAGCAATCTAAGTGTGTGTTGCCTACTCGGTGGCCATTTTTCTTCCGTTCTTCCGTTTTGTATGTGGTGATCAAGATGTCGTATGAGGAACTGAGATATTCTTTTACTTATATGTAACACACTTAATCTGCCTCTAACAGATAATGGTATAAGTTTTTAATATTTATATCACCGTGTTATATCACGTTGGCAAAACTCTCTATAAGTTATAGATAAACTAATGTATAAATTTGAAAACAAAAAACGTTAAGTATGTCCAGGAACTTTCAAAGTATGATGACAGGTCACATCGCAATTCATGAACAGTTCACAATGAACAATGTTCGAATTGTCATGTCACTGATGATTTAAAGCTAAGATTTTGTAGATTCCTTTTTTTCTTTTATTTATTGCAAAACATATGGGAAAATAGGCAACAAATGAACACAATATTTTTCAGAAGCAATTTTATATATTGAAAGTATTAAACATTCTCTTTTCTTACCAGTTTAAAGTGAATTTATTATCATGTTAAAGAAAGTAAGAGAAATAGAAAACCCAACAAAACAACAAGAAAAAGAAATAAATAAAATCGGGGGAAATGAAATAAACGACAAATTGAAATACAGGAACATGAAGTAGGATATAAAAATTATTATGATATACATATATTTATCAGCATGATATTTAATGTAAAGTGTAAAAAAAATCCACACTTCAGGTATATATGTGTTAGGAGAATACAGATGATAAAATAACGGTATCAATTATATGTGATAGGTAAATATATTTTGTATCTATTCATATATTTGAAATATTGTATACCTTATATCATATTAAATTGAATAGGATCACAAATGTAAAACCATTTCTGGACATATGATTTTACGTTAGTATTTGGTAACTTATTTATAATGATATTAAGTAGTGATCTGTAACATAAGCAAAGCTACGTACACGTAACTACAAGTTATATAAGAACATAGCCATTATATGACATCTACATGGTTCTCTCGATTCTCTGTGAAGAACATGAGTAATTATCTACTCTGCAGGTATGACGTCTTGGAAACATAGCAGCAGGAAGTGCTATAAGTAAAGCTTTTAAAGCTGGACTAAATGAAAAATGCTGTTTATAATAGCTATATTTGTATTGACAACATTTAATGAGAATGTAAAATAAAGTTTAATATTATATACGCATAATTAATAGTTGCTTTTGAAATGAAAAACATATCTTTCCTAATTTTCATATATCTAATATGTATATACTAAACCGTGCCGTTATTCGATGGACTTGAAAGAATTGAAACGTGGCGTGCAGGTTACGGAAAATACATCTAAATCACACAAGCCAATTAAAAGTCTGTGGAGTAAGAATGTTCCAGAAAAGAGCGACGACCAAGAGGAAACTCGAACGAGATCAACAAAAGAAAGAGGAGGGGTGCAAACAGAAAACATGGAGACACAACTCTTTAAAGAATTTCTGATTCATGAGATGAAATGTGTACTAAACAGGAGGAAAAGTCTAACCATACTGGTGGTGCAGCCGATAGTTTTTTTCTTTGTTTCGTTGCACATTTAGCGTATGTTCTCTGTTCATAACTGAACACCGACAAAATAGGGCTTATATACCATTTCAAATAGGTTTGGTGAATCATAACGTCGAACGTGGCCAGGCAGAACGTGCCTAGTTTGTCAAGACCATAAGATAAAATGATTAACATAGGTTACATTTTAGTATAATGGACAAAATTCCCGGAACTACTAGTCTATCTGTTAAATTATCTTATCGAGCCTTTTGGAATGAGAAATTATGGTTCCAGATCCTTTAAATGGGGCATATGCACAGCCAGAGCTTCGTGAAAAACCGGAGGCATAGCTTGATAGAATAGAAGTTATGACGTAGGATTAGAGCGTGACGATGACTACACGGTCACCTTCATCATGACTGATGTCTTATCACTGACATACATGTACGTAGTTTGCGAGTTGGTATGGTATCACTAGCTGTACTATAATTCTGTGAACACTTAGGTCGAAGATAGTGTTACGAAATGGTAAACAGATTACAGACCATGAAATACACAAGATGGTAACAATGTACTGTAGTCAATTCGGCAACGCATTGACACTTGACAATAAATGTGCGAAAGTCTATGGCCCCCATCGTCCCTGTTTAATACTGGTCTGCTGCGGCTTGAGTTTCATTTTTAAAAACAATCGCCAAAAAATACTGCCTGAAGAAAGTGATCAGTGTATTGTATGATGTACAGGTAGCACTTTATTTACTTGTAAAAGAGTTAAAATATCTAGAGTTATTTCCCTTCTCAAAAACCAAGGATTTTCACTTAGGCATTCAGTTTTTTGTAACTGAAAAATTACGAAACTCGTTAGATATTTTATTGCGAGTTTTTTTATCACTAAATGTGATATTGGCGACCGTAACTATGAACCCTGCTAATTTTGTTTATACTTTGCATCATTGTGCTATGTTTCGGTTTTTCTATGCTTACTAACCAATTCCGTGTTATATGCTATATAGCTATTCAGCTTACAATTTGCTTGTAGTCATGCATGATTCGATAAAATTACAATACGTTTATAGCTGCTGACAAATATAACTGTGATTTGTTCTGCTTCTACTAGTTACTATTCTGATATTCCGTTTGTACTCTGGTTAAAACCAATTAATTACATTTACTCGTAAACAAACGACTGTTCAAAATCAACCTTCTTGTATCGTGTACTTCCAATGCCTATTTCTTGTCGTTCCGCTCGGGAAGCACAGAAGAATAGTGTGATGGTCTTTGGCAAATACATACCGGCACAACATGAAAAACATATGTGTTTACAAACGCTTAATAGATATTACAATACATATGTATGGTCAACTTCGTAAAACATTTATATCGGTGATGCTCGTAAATATATCCTTATGGTATTTCTCAAACATTCTATTGGTTAACTATTGAGTCGGAGATGTATGTCACACACGTGTCGAACAACGTTATCTCGACGGGACAATGGAAAAACTTTGAGGTAACTGATTTCGATTTAAAAGAGTTCGAATGTCCTGTGTAAAGTTAGGTAGGGACCCACGAAATGTTTCGAATTAAAAAGGGTCTTTGAGTTATAAGAGTTTGAGATAAAGAGATTCAACTGTATATCTGTGTAGAAGATAATTCATATGTTTTCAACCGCCGTCTACAAATAAGTATTAATATGATATTGCATTTATGCACTTACCAATGCGTAGTTAATGTACCGAGCCTAAATTGAGAGCCCTATTGGCATCATTGATGATCGATGTCTACATAAAACGTGTGCGGTGGTACTCGGGACAATAACGTGTAAGTCATTGGTATCGTTGCATGATAATATATATATATATATATTCTACTTTCCTTCTAGTAAACAAATCAGATCTCTGGCAGATATCTGTAGGATGAAAACCACATATATAAATAAAACTATAAATATAATTTTTTTCTTGATCATGTTTTTATATGACCGTAATGTAACCGTTTCACCCACGAACTTGTAATTTGTGTGTCCCACATATACTCCATGTAATTAAAAGGATAAAAATTTTGAAGGGGACAGTCTCTCCATCGGTTGAACAGGTTAAACCTTTTCAAATTAATAAAGCATCTTATTTATTACTTCAAACATTTTTCTTAGAAGTAAATTCTAATGAGTAAAAGAAGAGGAAGATGGCTTCCTGTCCAATAAGGACCAATAGGACTCCCGCACATTAAATAAGGACCAATAGGACTCCCGCACATTCTACATCCTTTGACCACATTAAGGTATAGGACCAATAGGACCCCCGCACATTGAATAAGGACCAATAGGACTCCCGCACATTGAATAAGGACCAATAGGACTCCCGCACATTCTACATCCTTTGACCTCATTAAGGTATAGGACCAATAGGACCCCCGCACATTGAATAAGGACCAATAGGAATCCCGCACATTGAATAAGGACCATTAGGACCCCCGCACGTTGAATAAGGACCAATAGGACTCCCACACATTGAATAAGGACCAATAGGACTCTCGCACATTCTACATTATTTGACCTCTTATGGAATATGACCAATAGGACTCCCGCACATTAAATTACCGAATATCTGGTAATGTTCAGGGTCAAAATGTTCGCATTGTTTGTTTTTGATCAAATAACATTAACCAATAACAATTTTGCAATCTGATTATTAAAGGAAATATATATATACACGTTTCTTGTACATTAATGTACCGCGAAACAAAAAAGATATAAAAACAAAAACAACAAAAAACCAACAAAAATCTCAATAACAGCTCGAGTTAACATGTTAACATTTTACAATTTGCCTTATTGGTAACATTAGATTTTGTTAGTATGTTTTACAGGTGGTTTGTGCTAATTGGTTGTTTATATAGATAAACTTTCCGTACATAAGTAATTTTTTAGAATTATATTTAAACAACTTTTTCTGACATCGTTTTTTTATTATTTAGATCTGATCTTTTGATTGTGTCTAGAAAAATGAATCGCACTGAGTGTTTGCATTTAAGTAATAAAAAATGAAAGCTAAGACAATCATATACCTGTTTCTTATTGTTTTGTTTTTCTCACAATGTTTACCATTGATTCGTATAAATGATAAAGAACTGTAGCTGGTGTCATACCAAATTATGCCGATAATATGACAAAATTGCTTGGAAATACGATATTAGCACTGCAAACAAGCAAGCACAACATTGTTAATAAGAATCAGTTATCTATGCTGAAGTCTTAAATTAATCCTCAAAAAATGACCTAGAGTTATCCTGATATATTTCGCATTATTCACGTATCTTATAACTTCAAAAGAAAGAAAATTCGGTTTGTTTATCCTGAACCGTGTCCCTACCTGTGTCAACTTTTAAAACCTAAGTAGTTTCTTTCTTATATAAAATATGTCAACTTATGGCCTTAGAATGAACTGAAATCTAACTCAAGTCACTTAAAGATACAACTTAAGATGAATGAAAAGCGTCTGCAAAAGGCTCTATCCGTGTCAAGTATCACAACCTAAGAAGTTTCTTTCTTATATAAAATAAGTCAACGTTTGGCCTTAGAACGAACTGAAATCTAACTCAAGTCACTTAAAGATACAACTTAATATGAATGAAAAGCGTCTGCAAAAGGCTCTATCCGTGTCAAGTATCACAACCTAAGAAGTTTCTTTCTTATATAAAATATATCAACTTTTGGCCTTAGAACGAACTGAAATCTGACCCAAAGTCACTTAAAGATACAACTTAATATGAATGAAAAGCCTCAGCATAAGAAGTTCAAATAAAAACAACGTCTCCACCATTTCCTTTGGTTCATTAGTATACCATCGGTAAATATCGGTAAATATATACCATACAATGTTCTAAGTATCTTTCAGAAGGTGAGTTGAACATATAACCGCAAAATCACAACTTGCTTGGGGTGACAGTTGACAGATGTATCATACACACGTCAACGAATAAAGAACGACGAGTTTACTTAAAACCAGACATGGGACTTCTCTGGTGCAGCGTGATTTTCCTTTGGACAATTGTAGGAGCTGAGGTGTCCACTTCAGGGTACAAGCTAGCAGTTGTTTGTGAAAAAGAAGGACATCTTGTGGAGGTACTTGATCGATACGTCACGATTAGTCTCAATAATGAATCTCACGTTGATGAAACAGTACAAAGGTATGGTTGAAACTTCAACTCTGTTTCTTACATTTGATAAGTGTAGTTACGGTAATCGTCAGAGTCACAGTAGAACGGACAGGATATTTCAAACCACATTTCATTACTGGGGTTATTAGGTTTAATCGATGCAATCATCTGACTAAAATCACGCATTCCTATTGGTTTTGGTTCTGACATGCGCTTTCATTTGAACTCTTGCCATGAGCACTGATACAACCAATGCTTTTTCATGTTTGGAGGGTTGCGGGTGGATGGGGTGGGCATGGTCCGTTAGGGGGATGGTGGTGGAGGTTAAAGTTTTCAGATGCGTCAGAATCAATCATATCTGTCGCAGTTCAAGCAACGAAATTATACAGATTTTTTTTTTGTCCGCAGCTAACTTTGATAATGTAGAACAAAACTGTATTTCTCTACTGATAACTGGTGTTATAAATCGTAATTAACAGTGTTGATCAACAGTTGCTTATGCATGTAAATAATAAATGATTATATCATACCCATATTTTGCTAGAATTATCCATATGTCATGCAAATGCTAGAAAGCAGATGAAACTTCCATCCGTTCTCGATGTTAGCCTTCCACATCGTTCTGTGTAAGTGTGATCCGTCAACCACGAACTTTTTTGCAAGCTTTTTGAACACTTTTCCTCTTTTAAACCCAAAGCTAATCAACGTTTAAGTAGGCCGTTGATTTTTTAGAAAACGTTTAAATGATTGAGAAATGGACAGGGACTTTAAAATGCTGCAAACTGTCTAGTCTCTACATAAGCTTGTCACAAACATTAAGATGACCTTAAGACCTTAAGACAAGAGGCCATTTAACGAATGAACTGGCCATATCTCATTCGGTTCAAGCGCTCACGTTGCACAGCTGCAGTTGGTGTTCACGGGCACCATATTTCATAATTTGTTTATTTGTGTGCAGAAATTATGAAAAACAAAACTGATTCTTAGCAAATTATGAGTAGTATTTATCATAACGTATGGATAGATATGCACTAATACATGAGAAGTAAAACAAATTCAAAATGGTTTACATACAACATGTTATTTATTACAAATATATTTGCAACAGACTACATGTAGTTAATATACATATGAATATCACAAATACGTCACATGTCAAATATTTTTGTGCATTTCAACTTCTTCACCTATTATATAATACTTGTACCCACACTAATGATACTCTTTTTATTTGTTGTTAAGCTTCCTTATACATGTTCGTGAAGAGAGATCTAACGCTAAAAACATAGCTGAATGGATTGGTCATCCAATCAATGCCTACCACCTGGTCAAGAGGACAGCAAAAGACTGGTTAAAGGTCCAGCAGAAAATCAACTGCAATACGTGTTTACCTACCATTGCAGCACAGGGTGAGTTCTTCTAAAACGGCTTTACATGCAAAAGACAATTTTAAGTATGGTAATAAAGTCTTATAATATATTACATACACACACATATTTATATATATTAGAATAACTTAAAGCAACACGTCGAATTAAGCATTAGCACTTTCATTCCTTAATCTTCATGATGCTTATTAATAAATTACCTATATACAATGTCAATCATTTTTCTCCAATTTCATGTAGTATTGATATTTGTACCAAGCTAAAATAGCAAGGATCTTAAGTCTTAAGTGTATGGTATCAGTTATTATCGAATAATTTTGCGCAACTTAAGAAAGTCTGATAGCAGCACTGTTATGTTATTGTTGTTCATTCCTGACACAACTGGTGATACATCTCGTTCGAAGAATCAATTAATCAATCGGATTTTCTAGGAACTGTTTGGGGTTTCTTTTCTAATGCACATTTTTTTCACGTGCTCTGTTACTATTTTTACCAATTTGCTATATTTTTTCTCTCTCATTTCCTTTTCTGAACCATTTTCAATTATGATCGACTCTTGTTTCTCTGTTCTTCTGTTGACGGTATTTATTTTTTTTAACCGTTTGATTGCTGTTGTATTTGTTATTATCATTTATTGAGTTGAATCTGACCTTGCACGAGTTGTACGCCCATTTGATGTCATAACACTGTTAATGTATTGATAATTATTATTGCTAATGCATGAATGTGTAGATAGAACTCGTTTTATATATTTTGGATCATCTTTGTTGTAACACGTACATATGCTATATGGAGTTATTTTCTAGAAAATCTAGAGGCCAAAAGTATAGACGTTGAAGCCTTCTTAAACGCTGTTTTGACATGTAAAGTGGTAATTTTTTCATGGAGCTAATATTTATAAGTATTTCACTTTGTTTGATGAATTCCTGCTATCAAGTCTTTGCCAGTAATTATGAACTTATACTGTGTTTCGCGTAAACTTTGGCAATGAGGATGTTACCTTTTTCAGTACCTGATCAGTCTACTATGTTTAACACGACTCGACTCCTTCCATCTCGGGTCGGTTCAGCCTTCCAAGCTATATAGAGAATGATTTTTTTGTTGTTTGCACATTGTTAAAAGTGTTGATGTATAATACTGTTCAGTTATTGACACTTGCTGTCGACCACATAACACACATCGGATATATATGGATAAGGATGAAATATCCACGTTTATTGCATGCCACCATTTTCATTTTCGAATAAGGAAGGATTTTTTTCAAGATCAAATGATTCTCTGAAATTCCGAAGGGTTTTGAATTGAAAGATTTTAACCATATTTCAACATGTACTTGACGCTATTCTAAAACAAGCTGATATATGAAAATTACGACGAAAGTTAATCACTTATGGGGCTGCTACACCTCCACGTCTAGATGTTTTACTTCAATCACTCTGGATTTTCCTCAGTTGCTCTTAGGCTTCAAACTTTAGGCCCTTTGTATTACTGACGAGACCTAGAAGGATGAAACACCTGTATGATGCAGTTTAATACATTATTTTGGTCAACTTTATCGAACTCTAAATTATTAAAACGCACAATTCACTTGAGTGACTTTATACCATATTCTTACATTCGTAATTATGGCAGCATTCACTGGTAACGGAATAATTAATACCTACAATATATTTCACAAATGCTAAGCACTTATGTAAAGAAAGTCATGTCAAAAACACCATTCAGTGTTTTAGCAGATGTATATAACCAGCAGCAAACTTTATCAAAAAGACATATTATTAAACGTAAATAAAACAAATCCCCCCTTTTCTTTTTTCTTTCTTTCTTTCTTTTGTTTTTGTTTTTATGTTTTTTTGCCAATGGTTTACTCTTCATCTTTCAGAATTCTATTCATCCTGGAATCAGATAATAGATCGACAAGGCATTTGGACGAGTAGCAATGATATCATGATTGCTGAGAAAGGCTTAGCAAGACTTTATGAAACCTACGCCATTGACTATAAAACTCTGATATCAGGGACCATTTTAAACGTTAGCACAACCCCGTTAACGCCTGCAGATGCCATCAGTATAGCATTACATCTGGAGAAAGAGCCAAAAATCACGTGGATCGAAAAGTTACTGGAGACGGAGGAGATTTCCGATAAAGAGTCTCTACTTTACGATCTAGCTATGGCCTACCATATGGTAAGCAGATAGTTGTACTCAAATTCCTGAAAACCTACTCATTAGAGTCCTGCGAAAAATAGACTGAAATAAAAAAAATAATTACGATATTTTAATGTCTGTTGATGATGATCATGGGGAAAATGTACAGTCTTAACATTGATCATACCTTGGCAAATTTGATTTCCTTCAGAATATGAATTTGGTCATGTTTACGTGTTGTTTCTGTTGTTGTTTACATTGATTTTATTTGAAAGAGGACATAACTTACCTTACTTGGAATGATCAATATGTAGGTACATGTCAGATGCCAGACACTTACCCTTCCGGGGCCCCTTGCCTTATTCTCTTATTTTCAATACTTTAATATTTATATGTTTCCATAATTTTCTATTTCTCAGTGACTATATGTTTATATTAGTATGTTTACATGTCAGTATTTAATAAAACAGGTGAAAAAGTCCCAGAAAGCACTGGATATATTGAAAAACCTACAGCAGACAAGTAAGTACCTTAATAACTAATGCTCCCTTAAATTCATATCTTAATTTTCAACTCGAACGCGGCCATATTTTTTTCATAGAATGTGAAATATTCCTATGAAATGAAGAAACCACGACTGAAAGATATGTCATATGACAAGTGAAGCTGCGTTCTTCGACCTTTCAGTTATTCCAAGATATTTGATTTGTGCTAACTTAATAGATTTACATTTATTCTTCATACCGCCGAGTTGATTACGCTATACGTAGTATTATTTGGCTGCTGCACCTTGCAGTCTAGGTTATGACCTTTCTTTCGATCACTTTGGATTTCCTTAGTCGCCTCCTTGGCTTAAAAAAATTGGCCTTTCGCGTCATTGACTAGTTCCAGGAGAACGAAACACCAGTATGAGGCAGTTAAATTCTTTGTTTTGCTCTATTTTATCTAACTTTAAATTTGTACTAAAAGATGAAATTCATTTGTTTCTTATTTTTTTGTATAATGTTATCGTTTACTATAACATACTAAAAGCAACCCTTCCGTTAAATCAAACCAGTGAAAAATTGAAATCTGTTTCTAATTGCCATGTAATACATATGTTTATCCATTTATTTAAGAAAAATGATTTTGAGAAGATTTAAGGAATTTTGCAAGCTAGGAATTCCTTGGTAAACTTTTTGACACAGGTACCCGACCAATGAAAGGCATTATAAGGATTGTCAGACAGGCGGCCAAGAAATCTGTTGATACCGAACCGTATGAGAGTCCTTTCTTCCATCAGGAAAAATTAGCGAAAGCCTACAGAAATCTTTGTCAGGAAAACTCACAGGTATGACATGTAATTTAGTTATTGTAGCTTTTGTGGTCTCTGCTTTCTATGTAACCTGTACACCATACGGATAATTATTGCAATGTTTGTTTGGATCTACTCCATGTTCCTTCTATATAAATCATGGTTTTTTCTCGGTATTTCACGCCCTTACCATCATCACGTGACATATCACTCTGCCATTACACATATCTCATATTGCAATTTTATCTCAAGATGTCATTAGTAAATATCACCTACGCATATTGTAGTTATTTGCCTTCCTGTCTATGAACATTCTAAACCTACTATGTCATGGGTAATATACTATAATACAAAAATACATCAGTATCATGTGTGGGATACTTTGAAAAATTTACTATGTAAATACTTTTTAGAGGTTAACTTGTAATAATGATAACAACGATAATGATGAATTCTTCCTCTTTAGTCAATCTGTAATCGTTGAAATATATGCCAACATCTATGCCATATGCATGTATTTAAACACATTCTTTTTTGCATATAAATTTATTCCTTATTGAAGCGGCATAATAATACTAAGTTCTACTTACTCATTTACATGTTGTCTGACGACAAATCACCTCTCTTGCAGGAAGTGAAGTCTGCACCGGTCCTTCACTGTTACAACAAAGTAACACAGATTCCCTACTACACAGCAAAGGAGGAAGTCATAAACTACGTGCCACGTGTGTCACGGTTTCATGACGTTATATCAGATCAAGAAATTTCACAGCTTATGAATGCAAGCAAGTATCAAGTTAGTACTACAGCAGAGACCAATTCATGTCAGGATTTAAGCTTTGGAGTTGTAATGATAACCTTTATGTTTGAGGATGATTAATCTGCGAACCAGTTATGATAAAACTGTATATTTGCTTTTTTGCTTGCTGGGTGTATCAACCCGTGAACTGCATACGGGAGGTCCGTAGCATGGTGTCCAGAGCATTTAGGGTAAAAAGGACATAACCACGTCAGTAAAACCAAGGCCGTGAAAACCGCACCTTAGATATTTTCTTCAGATTACCTAGACCAACGCTCTCACCGATTGAATTATCTTACCGCAGCTACGATATTACCGATATTTACGTTCAATTACACGTGATTCCAAATACCCCTATATGTGAAATTTTACAGCCTTCATCGATCATTTTTCAACATTTAACAAATCAAATTAGATTAATATTTTTGGGACAAGTGGCCAAAGAAAATTCAGTATTGAAAGGTAGATTATGCCTTCCATTGCCTTTGCCTCCAATATGACAATAAAGACAAAATCAGAAATAAATTGCTTCTCAAAAACAATCTTGACTCTGTTGACAAGCATTTCTTGAAGGAATGGACATGAAATTGTTTTGGTTACGAACTCAAAACAATCATATGTGAGATAATGAATCAAATCGCAGAAAAGCCTTTCAACCTTGTAATAAAATACTTATATGCAAAGATATACTGAAGTAGATATCGTCCAATCATAGTGCTCATTGGAGGCTATTTGCAAATTAGAAATACTTAACAGAGGAGATTGCAACATGACCACTGTATTATCTAGAAGGCAAAGAATCTAGATTATATAGTCTTGTTATGTTTTCATATCTGCAGTTGAAGCCAGCCAGTGTTGTCGGAAAGGATGGTAAATACACTTCTGTTTTTAAAACCAGGACTGGTGAAACGTAAGTATGCTCTCAATCTAGAAAAAAAACCTTGTAAATGAACTGCAAGATCGATATACAAATTCATCTTTATTACATACATTGATTAAGAAATATTTTACTTTGGTTATTGAGAATAAAAACTGCATGCTTTCAGTGGATATTGTATCACATCACCAATGGACAAACTAGAATAAAGCTTGTCACTCTTACAATTTTTAACGCTATTAACAGTGTAGAAAGGTGTTACTCCACAACATTTTTATCTATATAAGGTTTTTACTGACAAGGTAAGCCTTTGTAGCGTCTGCAAGGTAGTAATACTGGCAGGACATTTACACAAGGCTGATTAATCAAACGATGCTTTAACACTTCTTTATACGTTGCAGTGGACAAACTTGAATGGAAAATGATACGATTAATCGTGAAAGAGATCTCGTGTCAACATTGACATTAATATCGTGGTTATATGACGTTTCATTATGTAACAAATACGACAGATTGAAGTATTGCAATGACCATTTAACCTTTTGAAACAGAGCTTGGATACATCCTTCAGAAGAAATCGCAATAAGACTAGACAGAAGAGTCACACTACTGACGGGACTAGATTCATTTTCGGCAGAATATTTCGAGGTATATTTGCTTTTATCATATTGTTCACGTCAAATCAGAAGATCGACAACTTAAGTTGTAAAACCTCATGATATAGGAAAATCTTGAAGAAGTACTAAGCCCAATTTTTGTGTTTTGATTTGGTTTTTTTTTTTTTTTTTTTTGAGGGGGGTGGGGTATGCAATTTATGAACCCAACTAATTAATTTAAGTATTTAAAGAGTGACCTTGGATGTCATTTGTTCATATTGTGTAATCAAAGCCATTTATGTTATTCAGAATGTGGAATGTTTACGTCAATTTTTACAGACAATATCATAACTTGCTTGTAAGGTATTTTCGTTAACTCTCTACCTAACGAGAATAATGTTTAAACAACAAACATCAAACGAAGGAACCCCGCCCCCTCCCATACGTTATTTCTGTAATCTGACAATGATTTAAACATCTCTTTCATATAAGTCTTAGTTTCAGGAAAGTTTGCTATCTTAATATCAATGACCTTCATAATTATAGACATTATTGCAGTTCGGTTATATTTTGTGGCAGTCATGGTAAAAGAAATATACGATGATTGCTGATGTGCAAGATTTTAACGGATTAGTGTTTGGCTTTCCGATAATCATCAACTTTTCATTTACTTTTGTATCCAAGTCTATGACCATGTAACATACGATAGTTTCTTGAATCTGCAAGACATCTTACTAACGGAATTCTTGTCATAATCTAAATGAATGAATTTAAAAATTGATTGAAATTGATATTCAGAGTTTAATCATGAGAATGACTTCATTATATAATGCTTTACCCCTGATATTTATATATATGTATATGTATCAACCTGAAAATGTCTTGTTTATGTTAACAATGGTGATAGCGTAGATTTGTATGTATTTCACCAGGTAGTGAACTACGGACTTGGCGGACATTATCTATGGCATTATGATGCACTAGATGTGAGTATGTATTTATACCATACAAGATTAAATAAAGTCTTCATATCTAGACATATATTTTAAAATCATTAGATAAAAATGGATGCTGAGACATTTAAATATCATCATTAATTATTAACATTACTATTTGAATGAATTAAAACGTGACACACATATTACCGCAAACTTATAAGACTAAATATCCACTAGCAGCCTCTACCACATTAGTGTAATTCAATAGATTGCAGAATTAAAAACAGTAGAACTAAGCAACTAAACTGAAACTGAATTCAAAGTTTGTGAAAGATATATTTTAATTGCACTTTTTCAAGGTCAATACTCAAAATTCGTATACCGGAAGAAAATAAAAACAGGAAAAAATAACAAATTTACAACGATAGAATGGGGAAGTGACAAATCAACAACAGTAAATATATATCTTTCTCTTAATTCGCATTTTATATACCTTATATATTTAGTACGTCATCTGTCTCTTATGTAGAGCAGCCTATGTTTGTCCGTGTTTAATACATAACAAAGTAAGTGTTTTAGCTCTTCTTGCCTTAATGACCAAATGAACCCAGGCTGTGGTTCAGCATCAAGTGTCTATTCGTCGTCCCTTTATCCTTGCTGCTTCAACGTGTTCTTTCAAATAGTTTTTCTAGTGATGTAATTGGCAATATTCTACAAAATGGCAGATAAATACCCGAGATAAGGTATCTCTAACTCTGCGAAAAATGAATTTGACGTATATCGAATGTCAGAAGGGTCAAATTTCTTACACCATTCAAACATAAATTTCTTCATTGAAGGAAACACTTAGAATTCAGTAGTAATGGTGGTTTTCATTATGTTACCTTGGAAAAAAAACCCATTTAATGCCCTAGTATCGTCATGTCCTACCCGTTACAAGCCTAATGCACATTGATATACATGTAGATGGTACATATCGCCCAGCCATCATAGGGACGTTTGCAGTTCTCTTATACATTTTTTTCGAGGTCACATGACAAGGAAACGAAGCAACATTAACATCAATATCGTTGTTTCGCAAACTGCAATCTAAATCACATAAATACGATACCATATCTAAAACAATTTAAAAAGAATAACCATCAAAATAGTTTTCATCCTTTTATCTAAACAGATGTCAATATTGTCCAGCATGAATATAACTCTTATGTGTTATTTAAACATGCATGCATCTATGATAATAAAAATCTTCCGAAATTTGTTTCAAAAGGCATGAAATAGCTGTATTTATCTTAGAAATATGTCATTAATCAATCAAATAAATTCAACTATTCAAAGAAATAACGCCAAACTGCTGTTATCTCAGGATAGCCACTCTCAAAACAGAGCAAACCTGCATCAACAGAGATGAGTCACCGGACTCTCTGAGAAATAATCGTAGTATTGCTCCTGTTAAAAATTAGGTAAATAACAAATGTATGCACTGATGATAAAAGCATTATATTTTTTTCTATTATGTATTGATGACCATAATAACGAAATGATAAGGATTGAGATATGATCATGTAACTCTAGTCAGTCTGTTCATGAAAACTGCCGCATCGTAAACATGGTGGCGACATTGATAAAGGATTTGTTACAAGGCACACTTTACTTGAATATTTACTACGACCATCGTATATCAATGGTTGATATTGGAAATCAAAGACACCAGCTCTTCGACACCAGCAGCTTATCCCGATCTTTCCAGCAACGAAACTGACAGTTTTCCATATGTTGTATGATAAGGGTGATGATTTCATTTTCCTCAATTCTGAATAGAAACCTAGGGTGCTTACATATGGCAGTTGATTCGATATTCAAGGATATACAAGAAGTAGTCAACTGACAGCCAGTGACGTTTCCGGTCATCTGAAATCTATTCCTTGATTGAGAAATGACACTCTATTACACGTTGAAGTGTGCAGTCAAAGTTCGTTAAGACTATTCTGCTTGTTTAACCCTGTAGTACATCAAACGTAATTAATTTCAATGCAGAAAAATATGTTTATGATATTTTGTGTCCAGTATATTTTGTTCTAGTTTTATTGAATATGAGTATAGATTTAAATCATGTTGGTGTTTTCTTAATTGTGTAATGGGTAACGTTTTCGTGATGGTATTTGACTGCTCGATTCCTTGGATGAAGACACACATAGTGTTCCAAAAGGTATATCCCTGACCTATGTTTCTTGTCGAGTGCGCATGTCTAATTGTTATCTCGTTCAGCCATTGATTGTGAGTTTTATATTGAATAAACGTATATGTGTCCGTTTTGTAATGATACAGCTCGTTAGTTTGCCTGTTGGTTCAGTTGTTGATAATTTCTCGCTTTTATCTGAGAACGTGACATCGCTTGCGTGGATTGACCAAGGTTTTCAAGGCTGGTGTCGTCGATAAAGCAGAAGACGCTTACTCTTCAAGAACACATGGTCTTATTATCCTTGTATTTTTTCTGGAGTCTCTTTTTTAATATATTTTGTCCTAGTTTTATGGAATTTGGGTTTGAAGTGTGTTTATGTTGCCATGTTGGTATTTTCTTGATGTTTCTCGTATATTCAGTTTTTAATTGTCATATCTTACAGTTACTAAACAAGAAAAATATTGATCGTGATTACGAACTTGGAGACAGAATAGCTACCTGGATGTTTTACGTAAGTATTATGGATTGATTAATTGATAATTTTTTTTTCGGGTATTCTAATCAATTCCTAAATTGTGTATTGGGCCCTACAATAACGTTTGGGGAAAAAACTCCGTTGGAGCTTGATTGAATGCAAGACCATGTACATTTTTTCTTCACCAGAAATTAAATTCTACCTTATGTAATCACTCTGATTTTAAGGTGAATTAACTACACTCTGTAAGGTCAAAGGAATTATGCCGGCAAACCGACTGAGACTGTTAGAATTATATGTACCATATATAAATATATTTCCTGTCCATAAATGTTGGTGTTGATGTAAATGCAAAAATGCCATGTTCACTAGTATCTGAGTCAGGTGCAATCTTTTGGCAGGGGAGATTTTACAATAGCACTGGACTAGCAACAGAGACGAAAGTTTGTTTTCATAGAGTATTTTCATTACGTTTTCATTGATAATAAAATATAGCAGTTCATTCCACATAGAGGGCCCTGTGATAAACCTAACCAGATGAAGCAGACAATTTTAATGCCACTATCTTTTTGATGATACAGATTTGTTGGATTTGCTCGATAATTTCTACGTATAACGTTCAATATTTCAAAAAGAAAAATACGATTTTGTATCTGTTCGATATTGTTTAGCATCCTAAAATCACATTTAAGACTTTCATTGTATATATTTAAAAGTTTCTTTCACTAAGGCATTATATATTACAATCACATTCTCCAGCTATTTTTCTTCATGAGTGAAAAAAAATCGTCAAGGGATGCAAAGCTGAGTTTTACATTAAACTAAAAAAATATTAAATATAAACAGATCTGTGTTATGAATATCTATATAATATTGCATTCAACTTATTTAACTATGAAAAACATATTGTTCTGACAAACATTTATATGTGATTTGTTTACAATTTAGCTAAGCGATGTACAGGCAGGTGGCGCCACAGTCTTTCCTAGACTGAGTCTAAGGATACCCCCAATAAAAGTGAGTACTCTTACCCAGCCTGAATCTGATGATACTCCCAATAAAATTGAGTACAACCAATAGCGTCAAACGTTTAAAAAAAGCATAGTATTAAAACAGAAAACATGTCAAGCCATAGAAAGTTTAAGAAATATTATTTCATACTAGAAAGTTCATATTCATGTTTTATTTGCTATAATCCCTGGCAGTATTATACAGAATACTAAACTAACTTTGCATCGATCGAACGAACGGAAAATCAAATTACGGGGTAGTATGCTTGCTATATGCATATAAACATGAATGTTGGAATTAGTGTTAAAACGACAAAATTCATGATCTAATCTCTAGTATATGTATAAAAAAAACAACAGAATATCATGAGCCAAAACGTTATATAATTAAGTTTATAATTATAAACCAACAGATATATTATTGGTCGAATCAACAGGATTTCTGACAGCCGGAAAACATCGTTTGTAGAATATCTTTATGAACACATCAATTTTGAAACTGAAAAGTAATTGATTCAAGTATTGTATTTACTTCAACATTTTTAAAAACACATCCAGCATAAGGTTAAACAACAAAGTCATAGAATTATTTGATCTTACCGATCGGAACCGATGAATTCGAGATTCTCTGTATCACATAATTAAGCATCATATCTACTGTAATTTCAGGGGACTGCTGTTTTTTGGTATAACCTTCTACCAAGTGGAGAGCGTGATGATCGGTCACAGCATGGATCCTGTCCTGTCCTTCTCGGTTCCAAATGGAGTAAGTTATCGAAAATGAATAAATAAATAAAATAAAATGAAAAAAAAAAAAACAACAAAAAACAAATAGTAATGTTGTGAACGAACAGCTGATTCTTTACCTAAGTGAAACCCAATGCAGGACTCTGTTTTGTCTAGTTTGATATTAAATAAGGTTATCTTGTTTTTTTATTAGGCTTGCAAACATGGAAACATTATTTGTATGTTAGAAAGAACCTCAAACGACAAAATTATAATATCCTGTGTTGGAATAGACACATGCCTTTCTTAATCAGACTTTTTACGATATCATTCAAGATGATATTATTCAATATCTATAGAGTTAGTCAATGTTCAGTAACCACGTTGGAAATTCTGATTATTTTGATCGTGGTCGTACAACCATTGAAAGTGAAATAACTGCTGACCGTCAAATCTAAATGACAGATCAGTTTGATTTAAGTGTTCTAAGCTGTAAAGCTGTAAAGCAGTAAGATAGATATCCTATGTATACATACTTTCACGTTTTGTTTTTCAAGTTACTACCAAGTGGATACTAGAACACCGCCAGGAATTCCGGAAACCTTGTAGAATAAATCCTATGGATGAACATTTATGATTTTCGTGAGATACAGCGATGACTTGTATTCATACAATAGGATGAAAGTGAATTTTCAATAAATTAATATCCTAACTACCTACTAATTCATGGGTTGTTTTTTAATCTTCCAAAAAAATCGTATATTTGTTTTCATTTTCTAAAATGAATTTTATAGATCATTCTTTACATACTTAATCGTACAATATTGTGAAATATGGTAATTAAACTTGAATTAAATATATCGAAGGATTTTTATGTGTCAAAATGTGTAATGGCTTGTTTGTAGAATGCTTCACATTCTTTTTACAATTGTAACATTTATAACAATTTCTTTAATCCTTCTAGTTGTTGTTAAGGAAGAGTATACAATAGAAACATAGAAAATAACAAATATAGTAAATGACATATCTCAAAACAAATTTGGAATTAAATGAATGAAAGACAATTTTAACGTTGATGAACAAATAAGGATTATGCTTACGCTCCATCATTGTGCATTACTCCCAAAAGTATTTGTAAGAGTGTGCAAAAGATACAGTAGAAATTTCAAACTCTAGATGTGGAGGCGCTCTGCACTCATGTAAGTTAGTTCTTTTAATATATCTGATAATTTCAAGTTAACGTCAACTGCATGTGCATGTGCATGTCCTGAGCCATGTCGCCAATCAAGTTAACGTCAACTGCATGTGCATGTGCATGTCCTGAGCCATGTCGCCATTTAAATGAAGCAAAACGTGACATGCAGTATGTGGTAAACATTTGGAACTAAAAGTCCACCAACAGTGTTGCCACCTGCTACCTCGAAAATTGTACAAAAGACGTACAAGTGAATAACACAATTTAACACCGATCAAACTTTATTCAGATCGAACGACGACCGATAAATATCGTTTGAAATTTTGGTAGCAACACACACATGTACTTAATGTTGTTCCGAAATTATTAGATATCTGAAACGTATTGATCTACGGGGCTAGTGCACCTCCCCATCTGAAGTTTGTGATTTTTTGTAATATTCCTAAATCGTCTCCAAGGGTTAACAATTTACACCTTTCGCATAACTGACCAGTCCTAGATGCACGAAAGAGCCATATGACGAAGTTTATTTCATTTTATTGCTCTACTGAATCTAACTCACGTGACAACACGCAAAACTAGACGAAATATAGGATGACCGGAATTCTGTTTTTTGACGATATCTGCTAAGTAAATGTTTGTCAGTTGAATTGTTACCTTCTGCAAAGAAAATCAGGTTTATTTCAACGAAACCACCATGAATAATTCACGAGTATTTAACTAGAAAACCACACAAGCAAAAGAACCACTTCCTAACACGACTATAATGGTGCAGGCGTTCACCTGTCAACATGTTACAGCTTGGAAAACAGGTTGTGTAACTATTTAGAAAGTGAACCATAATGTTCATTACCTAGCTTTGTTAATTAAGATTCCTGATGGTTACGTTGTATGTAAAGATTGAGGTAGGAGACTGATCATGAAGAATTTGAAATACCCCTGAATTTCAATTCTGGTTGGTATCTGGATATTGTTAATGAAAGTCTTCTTATCTAAATACAAAGGAAAAAATGATCCAGTACATCTCAAAGTAATACTGAAATGCTATAGGCAAGGTATCCATAGATTCAGAGTTGTGTGTAAACAAAAGCTTGCTAACAAAGAAAAGGGTACGTTAGTTAACTAAACTTACCTTATTGACAATTATTCTATAATATCAACCAGTCAATAATGAAATAAAGAATATACACCGAAGTAATAACAAAAAAGGGAGGTAAATCATTGAATGAAATAACAAAAATAAAGGGAGGTAAATCATTGAATGAAATAACAAAAATAAAGGGAGGTAAATCATTGAATGAAATTACAAAAATAAAGGGAGGTAAATCACGGAATAAAAAAAACAAATATAAAGGGAGGAGGTAAATCATATAATGAAATAAAAAAATAAATGGAGATTAATCACGGAATGAAGAAATAAATATAAAGGAAGGTAAATAACGGAATAGAATAACAAAAGTAAAGGAAGGTAAATCATAAAATGAAATAACAAAGTAAAGGGAGGTAAATCATGGAATAAAATAACAAAAATAAAGGCAGGTAAATCACGGAATGAAAAAACAAATGTAAAGGGAGGAGGTAAATCTTGGAATGAAAAAATAAATATAAAGGGAGGTAAACCATGGAATGAATTAACAAAATCAAGGGAGGTAAATCATGGAATGAAATAATAATGGTAAAGGGAGGTAAACCATGAAATGAAATAACAAAAATAAAGGCAGGTAAACCACGGAATGAAATAACAAAAGTAAAGGGAGGTAAATCATGGAATGAAATAACAAAATAAAGGGAGGTAAATCATGGAATGAAATAACAAAATCAAGGGAGGTAAATCATGAAATGAAATAATAATGGTAAAGGGAGGTAAATCATGGAATGAAATAACAAAATCAAGGGAGGTGAATCATGGAATGAAATAATAATGGTAAAGGGAGGTAAACCATGGAATGAAATAACAAAAATAAAGGGAGGTAAACCATGGAATGAAATAACAAAAGTGAAAGGAGGTAAATTATGGAATGACTCCTATACCTCTTACATATATATATATACATACATTCTATAGCATTAAGGACATTCACATAATCGTGATCTGTTATTGACAAAAACGTTGGGATATTATTGCACAGGCAAATAGTACCAACAAGGGATTTTCACTGATTTAGACGTTAGTTTTTTTTTTAATTTAAAGCATGTACATGCATATTTATATTGCACAGGCAAATATTGTGAGAACGAATTGATATTGATGTACATGAATTAGACTTTAGTCATGTTTAAGTAGTATCTCCTATTTGTATGTTTATCATAACGGTAAGAGTAAATGTATAAGGTATGATAAATAAATAAATAAATAAATAAATAAATAAATAAATAAATAAATAAATAAATACTATAAATATGTAAAATGATAGTTTGATAGTTATATCCTTGCATTGTAAGTTAAAAACAAATTAAAATTTTACAAATAAAAGTCATTTTTCACAATAATAATTGTATTTTTTAATGTTTGCTGTGAGCCAATCATAAGCAAGAAGATACTAGAGAAAATGTGTATATCTGTATGATGATCATCATCACTGCGATTAAGAGATAAAGAGAAGATTACACTTGTAATCGTATTAAGGACAAAGTAAAGAGACACTGTTTCGTATTCAGGAGACAATCCATAAATTGAAGATACACTGTTTCGTATTCAGGAGATATTCCATAAAGTGAAGATACACTGTTTCGTATTCAGGAGATATTCCATCAAGTGAAGATACACTGTTTCGTATTCAGGAGATATTCCATAAAGTGAAGATACACTGTTTCGTATTCAGCAGACATTCCGTTACCACTACCAGCATTATATCTGAGAATTACACTATATTTACCATCGTTTTTGTCATTTTATATTTTAGTGGTACAGGAGAGGAAGATTTCTTTAAACAGGCTGCATTAGTATAACCGATTGTGAAGAACATGTTAGGGATGAAGATGTGAATGTAATTATCAGTTGTAAATGGTGTTTTTAAAGCGCCAAGCTTGGCATACTACAAAGGAACAGTTATATAGATATAAGTATTAAAAATATTTAACAGTTAGTTTGATAAAACATGATATAATTGGAACGGTTAGATAATTAAACCCATTCGTATATATATCATGTCCTTGAAAGATAGCTTTAAATTTGAAATGTTTTGAGCTTAAATGAGTTATTTCAACCTGTTGTGTTTTTTTATATATGAGGAAATAAGAGTATTCTATTGACAAAGGTTGGGAGTTTTTTAACCATTAAGATCGGTGGTTTTCTTAGCGATGTGAATTCCATAGATTAACATCACCAAAATTACCGTATTCCATTACTTTTTTCAAAATCGCATCCATTCCATAGCACCCGGAGCTAAGACTTACCACGTCAAGGTAGGGTAATTTCTATTGCATATCTGTTTTGAAATTAACTGTCCCCCATCCATTTTGCATATCTGTTTTGAAATTTACTGCTCTCCCCCCACCCCGCCCCCATTTTGCATATCTGTTTTAAGATCAACTACTCCCCTCCCAATCTGCATATTTGTTTTGAAATTTACTACCCCTGCCCCTCCCCCGCCCCCACCCCCACCCCCGCCCCCATTTGGCATATCTGTTTTAAAATTAACTACACCCCTCCCATTTTGCATATCTCTTTTGAAATAAACTGTCCCCCAATTTTACATATCTCTTTTGAAATTAAATGCCCCCTACCCCTCCTTTTATCTTATAGAAACAGGACGATAGATCATAGTTATGCTACCAAGCTTCCAACAGTCGACTTACAGGAAGTTCATACAACCCCACATCCCCACCAGCAAAACGATCAATCTAATCTTACCACATCCTAATATTGATTTATACATAGTGTACGTCGAACGCGGAAATGATCTATGACACATGCCAAAACTTATTTTGCCATTCATAGCGCTATCCATTTAACATCGCAATATATCATATGAACAAAATCAGGATTATTTGAATTTGAATAGAAGAAATGTCTCTAAATGTCTCTAAGGAAATCTATTCATACAACCGAATGTTATTTATGATCGTGTTTGCCAGTGATACATAAACCATGCAAGCCTCTTTTCTGGAAGGTGACCGAATCCAAGATTCTGTTGACTTCTTACTTAATAAAAATCACTATCTGCCATTCCGCATACCGGTTGTCCAATGAAAAAGATATCATTATTATTTACAAAAATCACGTATTTGATTTTATCAAGGAAATGTAACATACTTTAGTCACAAGGAAACAAAGAATATATGCATTATAAGTGTAGATATATATGTATGAAGACAAACAATGAACCATAATGAAAAAAAAAAAAACTTTCATGTATCATTTTCAAGATTCATTTTTCAAATGTATACCATTAAGTTCGAAAATGAAAAATCATGGTATGGAGATATTTTGATAATTGTTTTTCTACCCAATCTCACCTAATCAATCGCTTCTGCTAGATATATGAAAGTTACTAGTTTAAATAATCAACTATATATACATATTTTACATATATTACAATTGACATTAAATGTAAAGCTGTTTTACTGTCAGCTGCATGCAATAAAAATAGGTTATAAAGTTTACCCTGTGTGGTTATATAAAAACCTCGATATCGTTGAGGTAAACAGGTTTAGTCATATGTAACTCGCTTGCGGACAAACTCGTACTACTCACTGAGACTTGTTTGAACGATACACCAATGTACCGCTAGACATGAATTTAGTATGGCTAAGCTTACTTCTGGTGTTTACAACTGTAAAGGCGGAAGTAGCCACATCCGGGTACAAACTGACCGTCATGTGTGAAAAGGAAGGAAAACTTGTGGAAAAACTGGACCGTTACGTCACAATCTCCCTTGACAACAAATCACACGTTGATGAAACTGTACAAAGGTAATCAAAACAAACTGCATTCTGGGATACTAGATGAAATTTGTAGAAAAGTGTTCATAATTACACATATAACAATGAATATTTTAGTTTACATTATATATACTTTAGTTGGTCAAAAAGGTATAGGGAACAGCAGGTGAAATGAGTGGCAGATATTCAGCGACATGGATCACACGGAGTAGAGCACCTAAACGCGAATTTCTGCAACCGTTTGTCATATTTTCTGGATATTATAGCAAACTCAGTCATTTCTGAAGCAATAAATTTTATTTCAATATGATACTCATTGTTAAATAGCAATAATACATTTATGTGGATAAGCCATCAGGAAAAAATATTTAGGTTAGAAATATATTTCTATTTCCCAGTATTCGATAGAACGCGATTTTCATGCTTTTCAAACTGAAATGTTTATTTTATGTGAACCGCTACTATTCACAAAATCAAGATGATCTGCTTGATACGTTTTGTTCTCTTCTTTTCAATGAAAGGTTTCTCAATCACGTTCATGAAGAGAGATCGATGATTAATAACATTGAGCAGTGGATGGGCCACCCTATCAACGCATTTCACTTGATAGACAGGGCAGTTAATAGCTGGGGTAAAGTCGTTCATAATATCAACTGTAGTACATGTGTACCTACAATGGCAGCACAGGGTAGGTAGAATGATTTCCTCGTAGGAAATACTTTTTTTAATCTATTTATCCTAAGTACGATAACATTCATTATCGATTTAAAGCGACATCACGTTAAAATGACATTTTAATGACATTTTTTATCATTGAATGTATATATGAAATGTTTTTTCTCATGAACAATGAAATATGCAAATAAAGAAGTTAATTAATAATCATAAATAGGAAATCTTTATCTGTTGATAAATAGTCTGGATATGTAAATTTCATATATGATAACGCCTGCGCATAGAACACCTCACCTGTAAGTGAAAATGGCTTCCCGGCTGAATGGGTTGGTGGTTCTTGTTACTTATTTTGTTATTCTGAGTTGACTTTGAGTTATCAAATAAAATTTGTCACACACATAACAAAATCGGGTGCTGAAAAACGGGATTTTACTTACTGTGTCACTACCGTCCGTGTCATTTCTGCCTACCATCATGTGTTCGTGTTTACAAATTGAACCGCCTCGTTTTCAAAACTATCGCGTGACGTTATCACGGCTAAATTTGAAAGGGTTTTCCCCAAACCAAAGAAGTGGTCAAGCTGGATTTTGGAAATAACTGTAAATATCGGGATGGCGTAGAAAGGTAACTGACACAATCAACTTCGTGATTACTGATATCTTGTCCTTTTACATTAACAATTTCATTACAGAATTCCTGTCAGCCTGGAAAAGCATCACTGATGAAGATGGTATATGGACAAGTAATAATGACTTTACTAATGCCGCTTTTGGTTTGACAAGACTTTATGAAACTTACGATTTTGATCTGAAAACTATGGTATCCGGGACCATTTTAAACATTCGTGCCTCGCCACTTACTAGTTCAAATATTGTAAATATAGCACAAGCTCTGGAGACAGAAAAACAAATTGCATGGTATGAAGCTTTCCAGGAAATTGCTGACGTCACGGAGAGAGATTCAATATTGTACAAAACGGCCATTGCTTACCACTTGGTATGTAAACCAGTAGAAACAAATAGATGTTGATATATCAAACAGTCACATAAACCAGTGAAGAAAATGAGTTTTGCTATGGCATATAACATTGTACAGAAGACAAGCAAATGAATAGAGCATTGCCATACAAACTTAATAGTTAGAGACAGCAAAGCCGACAAAAATGAATAAAACTGCATTAGCAGCGAATGATGTTTCTGGTACTTTAAAGGAAAATAACCGAACGGAATGATAATGTTGTCGATTATAAGGCTTCAAACAACATATTTTGATGATTTTCAAAATTTATAATCGACATCTCTAAGACATCGGTCCAACTTTATTCATTACAAAATATACTGTGAATTGAGAACGTTTATCAGAAATGCCTTAGAAAATATATAACGTTATATTATTATTTTTCCAATGTCTGTTTTTACTTTTAACGGTTTTCTTTATTAAACAGTTATACCATATAACCGGTTAGTTTTGCGCGGATAATATTTTCGCTGTTTCGCGGTACATTAAAGTGATCTCAAAAATTAAATCCGTGAAATATTGAGACACGTTTATATAGATGTTCTTTTACATTCGATTTTCTTCGTTAAAATATTATTCGATAGTTTGAAAAGACAATCGCGAAAATTTTGACCCATGAAAATTTCCAGCAATACAGTACATTCCTAATAAAAGAACTGAAAAGACACCTGATATCTATTAGAGTAGCTTAAAAGAAATTGGATAATGAAAGACAAAGTCTTGAAAATAACAAATGAAAGAATAATTATTGCCATGAACAAACGAAAGAACGAACAAGTGACATCATTAATGCTAATAATCATAATGATGTTTTTAACTCCATTGATGCAGTTATTCAATTATGTCTATGAAAGATGATGTATAATATTAGGAATTCATATATCAATGTATTAAAAAGCAATAGTTCTTTTAATCACAGACGGGATTGTCGGTGAAAGCCCTGGATATACTTACCAATCTACAGCAGACAAGTAAGTAGTATATTGTTTTAGATTAGTTGATTTCACTTTCTGTCTTATTAGGATTTTGTATGCATGCAACACCATGAAAAAAGGAAACAAAAACAAAAACAAAAACAAAAGAAAACAAAAAAACAAAAAACAAAAAACAAAAAAAAAAAAAAAAAACAAAAAACAAAAAAAAAACAAAAAACAAAAAACAAAAACAAAAAAAAGAAAAAAAAAAATAGAAAAGAAAACAAACAAAAAACAAAACAAAAACAAAAGAAAAAAAAAATAAAAAAGAAAACAAAATAATAAAAAAACAAAGAAACTAGAAGGCTGCAAGACGAGAAAGGAAATAAACTCCTCAAATATTATTGTAAATCATAAATCCTGTTATTCTAAATGGCTCAATTTGTCTGATGTCCTACCACTGACATAAACCTTTTAATTTAGGTACTCGATCTCTGGAGACCATGACTAAGATAGTAAGATTGAAGGCCGAATCCCAAGAGGAAAACCAACAGGAAGACAAAGAAGTAGGTTCACAAAATCCTTTGGACATCGTTTACAAACAGCTGTGTAAAACACAAACGTCGGTAAGTGTACTAGAAGCAGTGTACGGGAGTTGTTTCAAACATAGTTAGGCAATTACACAAATTACGTCACTGTCACGTGAACAATAGCGTTATTTGTTACCTTCTTTTCGAGATTTTGTATAATATATCATACCAACCTTCTACGAACATCCTTGTCTAAGTTTTGTGTCAGGGCCATAAAGTTCATTATACATATATGCCACTGATAATATAAAAACTGACTGCACAAGACTCTACAAATGACACAAATGCGAATAATGATACAAATTTAGAATAGTATATTAGGAAAACTATACAACCTAATCCAAACTAAGAAAAAAACACACTCAAAACAATTGTAAAAGCATCAAAGAAAAAAGATACTATGTGAAAAGTATTCTCAAATGAGGTCAGGGTTGATAAAAACGTTCCTATGAGACCAGGGTGATGACCATTAAGTTATCCCATAACGTCCATCAATATTCATCTCTCGGATCCAGGAGGTCAGATCGTCGGCCAGCTATCGAAATTATTTGCGAAATTCAAAATATTGGAAACAAGCCGTTGAATAAAGAGTAATTGCGACAAAGATTTATAGAGAGCATCTCAATATGGAATTGGGAAATTCATAAGAGATTTACCGTTTATTGGGAAGGTGGCACTGTTTCATCCTGCTATGGCACCTAATGCTAGGGTTGAAAACGTTGTTGGCTCTCCACTATGTGAGAAAAATAATTGCTAAATTTACCTTGGATATATACAGACACAGTGTACTAATACATATCGTTTTAACAATCAGCAATGTAAGGAAAAAAGCAGCTACTCATAAACACTGTTTACACTATCAGTTATAACAGCAACAGACATTCCTGGACAAACATAGGTACTTACACTGTTTAAACTGTCAGCTTTACCTAGGTCATATACAGGTACTCACAATGTTTTAACTGTCAGCTTTACCTAGGTCATATACAGGTACTCACACTGTTTTAACTGTCAGCTTTACCTAGGTTACATACAGGTACTTACTCACACTGTTTTAACTGTAAGCTTTACCTAGGTCACATACAGGCACTCACTGTTTTAACTGTTAGCTTTACCTAGGTCACATACATGTACTCATACTGTTTTAACTGTCAGCTTTACCTAGGTCACATACAGGTACTTACTCACACTGTTTTAACCGTCAGCTTTACCTAAGTCACATACAGGTACTTACTTACACTTTTTTAACTGTCAGCTTTACCTAGGTCACATACAGGCACTCACTGTTTTAACTGTCAGCTTTACCTAGGTCACATACAGGTACTTACTTACACTTTTTTAACTGTCAGCTTTAACTAGGTCACATACAGGCACTCACTGTTTTAACTGTCAGATTTACCTAGGTCACATACAGGCACTCACTGTTTTAACTGTCAGCTTTACCCAGGTCATATACAGGTACTTACAATGTTTTAACTGTCAGCTTTACCTAGGTCACATACAGGTACTTACTTACACTGTTTTAACTGTCAGCTTTAATTAGGTCACATACAGGCACTCACTGTTTTAACTGTCAGCTTTACCTAAGTCACATACAGGCACTCACTGTTTTAACTGTCAGCTTTACCTAGGTCACATACAGGTACTTACTTACACTGTTTTAACTGTCAGCTTTAATTAGGTCACATACAGGCACTCACTGTTTTAACTGTCAGCTTTACCTAAGTCACATACAGGCACTCACTGTTTTAACTGTCAGCTTTACCCAGGTCACATACAGGTACTCATGCTGTTTTAACTATCAGCTTTACCTAGGTCATATACAGGTACTTACACTGTTTTAACTGTTAGCTTTACCTAGGTCACATACAGGCACTCACACTGTTTTAACTGTTAGCTTTACCTAGGTCATATACAGGTACTCACACTGTTTTAACTGTCAGCTTTACCTAGGTCATATACAGGTACTTACTCACACTGTTTTAACTGTCAGCTTTACCTAGGTCATATACAGGCGGTCACACTGTTTTAACTGTCAGGTATTTGTACCAGAAACGTCATCAGGTACTTGTACCCGGAACATATACAGGTACTTGTATCCGGAACATGTACAGGTACTTGTACCCGTAACATATACATGTGCTTGTAGCCGGAACATATACAGGTACTTGTACCGGGAACATATACAGGTAATTGTACCCGGAACATATACATGCACTTGTACCAGAAACTTATGCAGATATTTGTACCCGGATCATATAAAGGAACTTTTACCGGGAATGTTTACAGGAACTTGTACCCGGAACATATACAGGTACTTGTACCCGGAACATAAACAGGAACTTGTACCGGGAACGCATACAGATTTTTGTACCCGGATCATATACAGGAACTTGTACCAGGAACGTTTACAGGTACTTGTACCCCGAACATATACAGTTACTTGTACCCGGAACGTATATAGGTACTTGTACGGGGAACATATATAGGTACTAGCACCGGGAACATATACAGAAACTTGTACCGGGAGCATATATACAGGTTCTTGTACCCGGAACGTATACGTGGACTTGTACACGGAACATATACATGTACTTGTACACGGAACCTATACAGGAACTTATTACCTTCCGGAATATTTTTTCCAGGAATCTCCGTGTAAATCTTACTATTGTTCATAGTATTCCTTAGTCTTATCAAATTTAAATATCTATACACACTTTATCATTCACAGCTTATTACATCTGACCTCCATTGTTACAATAAGAAAACACGGATCCCCTACTACACAGCTAAAGAGGAAGTACTGAGTAATGTACCACGGATATCCAGATTCCATGACGTCATATCCGACAAAGAAATTTTACATCTACAGGATATAGCGAAACAAAACGTAACTTTCTTTTCTGTGCTATTTATATAAGGAGATAATTTCTGGTATATAGGTTTTGTCAGAACTGTTGAGTATCTGTTTCACGTTACTAAAACTAGTGTCAAAGTTACGAGTTTGCTCAATGCATTATTGAGTACCTTTATCAGTCTGAATACTGTTTTATGGATTATTTTCATCTGTTTTACGTCAATTCTATTCATGTGATATTCCAAAAACATGTCTTTTCATTTGACCAAACCTCTAGCAATGTAGCGTTGTAAAATAAAAAATATTTATGAAAAGCTTCATATGAAAGAGAAAATAGTGCACATATAAACTATTTTTGCAAACAATCTGTGTAAAATACAGTTTAACTGATACAGTATTCAAATTTGTAAAAACTTGAAAAACACTATAACTGTCGTTGGTGACGTCACAATGCATATTATGTCATCAAGCTGTGGCGTCACAATTAACTCTACAGCAAATAAACAAGTGGACTTGGTAACATAACATGTGTGGCATAAAGAATCATTCAATAAGTGTTATTATACTGGCAGCAGGGAATTTATGTGAAAATATATTCATATATATATATATATATATATATATATATATATATATATAAGCATTTGTGTTGCCGAAACGAAATTTCATAATAGGCCGCCTGTTATCACGAAATTACAACAGAAGTGTTTACACGAAAAAGGAAATGTAACTAACTGGGAACCATGCAAGATACAATGTTGATTACATTTAACATATTTTGTTTTTAGTTAACGCGAGCCCGTGTATTCAAAGGCGATGATCAAGAAGTAGATGGATCAAGGACAGGTGACAGGTAAGGAAATTTATCATATGACAGCAATGACAGCAATTTCCAATTATTTTTGTGAATGATGTTATGCATTTTGGTTTCATGGTAATGACTTGATGAGAAAGTTTACAAATGGACAATGTTCATGATATATATAACAATCACAGATGCAGTAGACCAGGGTGTTTGAGAGTTGTTTTAGTGTAACAAATGACACTCACTTAACTGGTATTTTTCTAGGTTAGATATAAAAGGCAATACACCAATACGACATTGACATTGCAAATCTCAGAGGTAAATTTGTGTGGGCCATAGTTTGCTTCGTTTGGCTCTCTGTTGGTAGAGCTGCAATCGGTCTCTCCAAAGCAGTACAGTAGGTTAACATATCTTGCTGTTTGCAGGGTAAATTGGATACTTTGTGTCGCCTAATTCTTCGTAATCGGACGTAACATGCGTTTATATCTGAATTAAAATGAAAAAAATAATCGCGGGGGAGGGGGGATGTGTTTCCTTCGCTATTCATATGTTAGACACTTTATTTCTTTTATTTTCCTCTCCACGGCTTTTCGTCTGGCGTGACAGTGCAAGCCTGAAAATACGGACGAGTACAACTGTAAAACTGGAGAAAAGAATAGAACTACTTACTGGTTTGGATGCTTCCGTTGGCAGAGACATTAAAACGTCTGATAAATTACAGGTAATATGAATCATATTATTGAACGTTATTGATTATTCATATGCGAAATAATCTACGTTACAGTCACGTGGTCCTGTATGGAATATTGCATTATTATATTGTGCGACGAAGTCTTCCAGGAAAATACGAAACGGGAAAATATTGTGCACAGCAGTGTTGTAACATTGAGTTACATTGCTCGTCATACCATTAGGTAGTCTTCATAGAGACACGCCTTTTTCCGATATTTTGATTAATTTCTGATAACATTAAACAATGGCACCGCTGACGGAAGTTCAGAGCGGTCAACCATTGCGATGATTATGCAAGTCCAAAGATAAATACATGCTGCCAAACATTCGGTATCCATATTTGCACTAAAGAACGTCTTGTTAGGAGTATAAGGGAAACTGGGCGGCTTGCTGACAGACCTATGTCTGAGCGACCGCGCGTGACGTCACAACGTCAGGACAGGTTTATTCGTCTCGCGCATTTCGCAATCGGCACCTTACTGCCACTGAATCTGCCCTTCATGCCATAGGTACTCATAACCGTCCTATCCATTACCGCGACTCGTCGCCAGCTTCGTATTGCATTCCCATTGAGGCAGTGGAGACGGGTCATGGAGAAAATTTTTCTGACTGCTGCGTAGTAGGTTTGGGGGTGGATCGGTTACGGTTTTGGGAGGAATCTCACATGGAGTTAAATAACCACTGGTTGGGGTAGCTTATAATTAAACTGCTGCTAAGTCTATAGATGGGATCCTCCTACACCGTGCTGTCAAATTATTGCAGTAAAACATCCTCAAATTCCAGCAGGATAATGCGCGGCCCAATGAAGCGAGGATGTGTCGCGCCTTTTTTCACTAACAACAATATCCACCCACTTGACTGGCCGCCCTACAGCCCCAACCTATCCCTTATTGAGCACATGTAAGACCAACTGAATAGACAGGTTCGACGACACCAGCCTCCTCATGTTACTCTGGCCCATCTGAGAGCAGCCCCTTGAAAAAAAATGGGCCAACGTCCCAATGAGGAGGATAAAAACACTCATGACCTCCATGTGAATCAGGGCTATGGAGAGAGCGAATGGGTGACATACCCGGTATCGACTAGCCAGCTTCCAACAATCAGTCCATTTCGGTTTCAGATTTCTCTTTCAACTCCCTTCAACTACTCCTCAATCATTTTGTTTTGTTTTGATTAATCTTCACTCTTACTGAAAATGTTTAACATTATATTCGACGTCTAGTCCCATCTTCAAAGTTTACCCTGCCTTTCATTATCCTTTGAGTAAAGATATTAGAAAATAGAAAACACGCCGTCGTTTCGTACTTGATAGAAGGATTATATATCACATTGGATAATATTCCAAAACTCAGATTTATGAGAATAATTCTTAATGTTGACATCTTATGTTGTAGACGTATGACACGACTGGACTTTTTACGTTGTATGCACTGTTAACAAATATAAACATTCATTGTTGTGTCTTGCTAGGTGGTGAACTATGGTCTCGGTGGGCATTATAGTCGACACTATGACGTAAGTATTTTATGATTTACGTCACATCAGGCAATGGTATATTTCATAATTATCTATAACTGGTTTTTCTCTGTCTTTTGTGACAAGGATATATACGCTTATTTCCTGCGCTCTCATTAATCTCACGTTAAATATGTATCTATGTGAGCATTTGTTTCAAACTACATTACTATCATACTTCATTAAAGGAAGGAACCAATTTTTAGATAAAAAAGTCTTGTTGCAGATGGAATTCTCATTTTAGGACGTGCAGTTATGTTTTCTTAATAAAGCAGTTGTCGTCGTAGAAGCAGAAAACGGGTTACTCTTGATGAGACAAATATTTCTGAAACCTTAGAAAACCTCCCTTTAGTTGTGGTTGTCTTACTAATAATTAAATATTCTTTACATGCTCTGTATTATCTATTCCCTCGGGGAAAGACAAATACTTCTTGGGCAACACTATCGAAAAACAGGACAGATTAGACAATCTGTGTTTGTAGAACGTCCTACACGAAGAATGAACATAATTCGTCCAATATATCATCGTGGAGGGAGACAGCGATAAATAAACTGACCTCGAGACAGGATTTAACTAGAAAAAAATTATTAGTAAAAGACTTTTGGAGTGGTACTCCCCCTAAGTGCACTTGAAAAGCACAACAGTGAATAATGGTTGGTCGGGTGGCACAGTAGTAACGCACTCGGCTTCCACCTAGCCGTCCGAGGTTCGATTTCCAGAGTGTTGGTGAAAAGGTATGGGGTCACGTGCCCGACCACGTGAGTTAACTCTGGCTTCCTCCAACAATATACCTCTTCCCAAACCCCGTACCAAAAATAAATAAAGTTTATATTTTTATATCTAACAGTGAATAGCATTGATACTGATGTGATACATTGTTCTGTCTTTCACAGTGTAGAACCGAGACCGCAATGCACCATGGGAATTATACTCGTAACGAAAGAATTGCGACATGGATTTTTTATGTAGGTAGATAAACACGACCTGAATCGTGTCTCGACTCTTGTCCTTATGCAATATTTAAGCAGTAAATTTAGTTTTCATTGAAGATATAGGTTATAACACAACGATGTTCAATGACCAACTGTGAGAGACGTGTTACGCAATTGTGTATTATCTTAGATTTTAAAACTATTTTGATAAAAAGTTTCATCTGGCTTCACACGAACATTTGCGTTTGGCATTATATTTATTATGCTTGAGAAAGAAAGTGATGTTTGCGTTTTTGTTTTTATTTTGTTATGTTAACACGCATAACAGTTCTGCTCCGTGAAATCTACTGGTAAACGTACTTCTTTTGATTCCTTCAGTGAGTGGTTAGCTTGTGGTTTAGTATGAAATCTTACCTTTTTCTTAATTCAGCTCAACGATGTAGAGGCAGGTGGTGCCACGGTTTTTCCCTTACTCAAAATCAGGATAGTTCCCATCAAAGTGAGTACTATAAATAGATAATTGGATCTCTCCCAAGGATAGTTCTGTCCGTTAGTTTAAACCTGCAATAAATAAAACTTTATTGTATGTCAGCCTTACCCTGGTCAGGGACTGCAGATTACTCGGCTGTCGGTCGTCAGTATATCTAAATTCAATAAAGAGCAGTATAGCATATACGTGTTGTTTAAATATTCATTTATTACAGATAGGATTTAAATGTAGATACATTTGTATTTGTGACGTAAGATGTTTAAATGACTTTTCAACCAAATAAATCTTCATTATTGAAAAACAGCAAGCATAAGCATAACAAGAGTTAAGAAATGAAAAGAAAATCCTTGAAAACTTCTTGCGTTCATTTACCTAAAGAAAACAGAAAAGGGGAAACAGTCAATGTTCGATATAAGTATCTTCAATGCATCAAATTGATATACTTTAAGATGAAATATGCATGACTTCGTTAAGAGACATTCAAAAATAATTCCTTTCAACATTTTCATCGAAACTGAAAATGCCCGCGTCACGTGCTGAACAGGAATGATATTTGATAGGTCTTGTTAAACATTAAAGGTTGTTAGACGTTGAAAGTTAAGCAAACATAGTAAATGTAGCGTAATGAATCAGAGAAAGTGCTGACGTCCTTTTTATATATAACATTAAAAGTACATCTTACATAAAAATATTTATAATAAAAAATAAATTCAGTTATATAAATAGAGCTTCGTTGTTGTATTTATCTATATATTGGTCCTTGTCTTTAGAATAATGAAATTTGCAATTAGCATTCGCCTTATGTGTATCTTATCCTAGAAACTAGGAGGTGATAGGCAAGTGTGAGAATTTAGCTGGAAATTTGTTTACAAAATATTTGGCGCTGCCTTAACTATAACATACTGCCAAATAAACATACGGTGTTATAATGACTTTCACTTATGCATGAAAAAAAACCCAGATGGTTTTCACATATATCGGAACAATCCTAGTTTTGTCGTGCCATTTTCCTCAAAAGAAATGTTTTGGTACGTGAAAGGAATTTATCAAATGAGTTTTATTATGCAATCACTAAACCTTTTAGGGTTCTGCCGTTTTTTGGTACAACCTAATGCCGAGTGGGGAAACTGATTTTCGATCACAACACGCCGCATGCCCAGTGATATTGGGGACAAAATGGAGTAAGTAATTATATATATATATATATACTGTTCGACATAACTTTCTGTACCTTGTAGGATCGCAAATATATATTTGTTTTATTTATAAATTTATTCAATTTATTTGTTTATCTATTCCTGACATTATGGTTTCGTAAAATGTCGTTGGTAAACATCATGAAATCAAAAATACAGAGGAAACTTAATGGATCCGGAAGCTCCACAGATTTTTTTTAAGTGTCGTCAAAAAAGGAAAAAAAACTTATTAGGTTTTACAGAATTGTATATACTGGCCGGTAAGCAGTATTATTCAGCACCAGTACATTCTTCCATAAATATGAAGATTTAAACCTTTTCTACATTGCTTTATTGTTTTAGTTACCACGAAGTGGATACGAGAACTTGGCCAGGAATTACGGAAACCGTGTAAAACACAATATTCGGCGGAGCATTTTTGATGTATTGAACCTTTCTCTTCATTAAAGTATGTTTCAAAAAGAATGATAATGATTTTGTTGTTCTGTTAATCTTGTGTATGAATTGATATATCGGGGTAAAACGGTGTGGATTTCCTATCATGTTGCTATCCTGCCAGGCGCATTGAAAATTATGTTGAGTTCATTGCTCATGATTATTTTGTGCACTAATGAAATGCACTTTTCAACATCCTGGCGCGTGTCACTATTCTGATAACGTAAAACATGGCATACAGGTAACTTACATTCCTTTGGGTTTTATAAATGTACATTGAGGTATATTAAGAAAATATAATTTTTAATGTTCAGGACAGGAGGAAAAATGAAGGGATGAAATTTCTTTAAGAATAAAACGACGCACTTGCTTAAAATTGTTTTGTAATATCTGTCCTCATTCCATACAACTATATCTCGCTCAGTTTTCATCATACAAGAGTAAGGTGTGAGCCTAGAAAAAGATTTCAATATAAAATGTAATACTGTTTTGAACTTTTGAGAAGTTACAGCATTATCTGAAAAATCAGTTGTCGGCCATTTTTTTTTATCTATAACATCATTTATTATTGTATAAAGACACAAAGATGGATGTCATCTTTGGATACAAACATAGAACTAGATGCAGTAGAGCCAAACAAGGAATTAAACTACATCATATATCGTCTAAAATATTTCCAAACCTTGGAGCTGGAGAAAATCGAAATTAATAAATAATAAAACATTATCATTGATAACATTTGTCGGCCATTTTCATGTTGCACCCATCCAAGGGACAAGGTTGTGAAACGTTTCAGTTGTATGATAAATGCAAATTTCAAAAATGGTTGTTTCAACCATCAAGCGGACATCCCTAGAGCTTAAGCAGTTGAATGTAAAACAGATACAGAGTTGTGAAAGAGATTTGACCTGTCTGGAGAAGTTGGAGATAAACATCACCAAAATTCTGGACGTGACAAGTCTGCACGAACTCCTCAAGACAGTTATTATTAGCGATCTGTGAAACCTTACAAATCAGAGTGGAAATTTAGGGAGACATAATTTTCTCATGAACTATAAGTACATAGAAGTAAGGAAAGATATATTTCTCAGCGAACTAATTACATATGCAGTTCCTAACATGTAACACTTTAGGTCAACTGATATTGTGAGAAGAAAGATGTTGCACATTGGATGAGTGACAACATGGACATCGTGGATAAAATCTTGTTTTCCAATGAGGCCCACTTCAATACTAAGACGCAGGAAACTTTAATTTACATCAGAAGCCGTTATATGACCAGAAAAAAAATATGTGTCTTTTTTCCTTTGGCCTGACAGTGATTAATCGTAAAGAAAGGATGACAAACACAACACCCGTCAAGCACATACCAGATGCTTTAACATGATTGCCAAAAATGTTTGAACTCTCGCACATCCATGACCAAGGGTTAAACAAAGCGTAGCCGACACGACTAAAGTACATGGTTACCCACCTAGAATATATTTTTGGTCAATAATCTGTTTACCATCTCGTCACACTCTTTTCTACCTAAGAGTACATAGGATTATAGTGCAGCCGAAAACGTTGGTCTATTCCTTACCATCTCGCACACTACGTACGTCAGTGCTAGTACGCTCCACACTGGTCATTTGTCTGATGAAAGTGACTGTGTAGTCATCGAAACGTCACACTATAATCTTCTAATGGTTGTGTCATAAGATCTTCTATTCTATAGGTTAATGAATATTTGAACGTGATTTAAATTAGGAAAAACTGCTGCTCATACTCACCCTGTTGTATATTTTGCTATGTAGTTATTGCATATAATCTTCACATTGTTTGTATAACAGGTTTCATGTTGCCTAAATTCAATCGAGATGCCAGTTGCTTTACAGTACAGATTATCAGATGTCTAATGTATTTATTGTTATTTTCACTTTCATTCACTGAACTCGTGACCATGATTATGTTGGACATTAAAATAATCTCACCTTTTTTATTCAGAAAGTATAAAGATAAAGTAAATCTAAATAATGTTGAGGCATTAAAAATATTTCATATTCATAAAAAACAATATGAATAATTGAAAAAATCAAGTTTTTATATATGATAAAAAATAGAAGTTTTTCATCTGTAATTTGTTCAGATAAAAACCTTTAATACAATATGTACCAGAAAACATTTTTTAAAATTAAAAACAAAATGGCGCATCTATGCCAACATACTTGGTTGCGGGATAAGAGTCAAGTCATGGAAAGGCTGATTACCGGTAGGTCAGTGCTGTCAGCAACATCTGTGGGAGTTTTTATTGAGCGCACTGGTCATGTACTTCAGAAAACCTGCAGGGGTTCAAATCTGTTTATAAAGAGGAATAAAGTGGAAAATAATATATCTGTGTTTAGTTGTCAAGCATTGAATCAAAATAAACCTTTTAGATTTAATGCACTTAAGAAAGAATTTTTTGTTTATATATTTTATTTTTTTTAATTGCTTATTTTTGTTAATATGAGGTATCAAAAGTAATCAATCTATGTTCTAAATTTTACAAAGTATACTTTGACATTTAGTGTAACTAATTAAACGGAATAGCTACTTACTATGTCGTTTTCGCGTTAAACAATTTTCGAATTAAATTCGCTTCGCATCTACGAAGTCGGACATCGTAAGGTTTATGTTAAAATTTAAATATTTGTTATAACATTTGCTTATCATCATATGTAATCGATAAATTTATAAAGCGCAGAAATACAACTATGATAATGATATTTCAAACAATCTATACGGATTACCTCCCTTCGCCCAATTTTCAAATAGAATATACTCCTGACAGCCAACACACAATGCGGTTTTTACACAAAGCAATCCCCATTTCGTCTCTTTCAAACCATTGCAAAGTAAGATTTACTTAGAAATAGAGGTTAATTGCAGACGAAAATCTGTGGATACAGAACAGATGAACGGATTAAGAAAATACAAAATATCCTTACAAGAACTAATTTTGGACTGGCTCGGTGAACGAAAATTGACACAAGTCTTAAAGAGTGGTCCAACGCTAAGAATGATTCTTAATTATAAATTTATATGGCATTATATTTTTATCATTAATATTTTGATGTGTAAATGGATGTTTTCCCGTCATGGTGACTCAACACACTTTGTTGAGACTTAGAAATTGACTGACATATAATAAAGATTGCCACCTTTGGTAAATGTAACGACAAACAATGCAGATCCAAGTTTCCAATAAGAAAAGGCAGCCCGCCTGCAAAATATAATTTTTTTTCTACAAGAATATCAGAAAAACTGATGCATGCTCTTCGCAAATGACATTACTGGACACAAAATTTCACCAAAAGGGCAATAGTTCTGTAATTAGGAAGTTGCAGGCCCTGAATTAGGTATACTGTACGTTCTCTTAGTATGATTAATGTATTCACCAAGTTTCAATAACTCCTAAATTATTAAAAAGAGAGTTATGGTTCTTGTCTATTTAACTTCTCCCTATCGAGATCTATCTATTTGTGAAGTTTCATGTTGATACCTCTTATAGTTATAGTGATATGCTCCGGACAAAACCATGACTGACGGACTGACGGACAAAGCGGGGACTATATGCTCTCCGCGAGTAATCTAGCTATGGTGTACATATCTCGTATGCAATAGTTAGTAAAATAAACTTGGTGATTCAGTTTGATTCACATGTTATGATTTTTGATACTGTACTAGCTGCAAAACGCGACCATCACCCATACTTATCTATGCGATGACAGATATTGCGATAAAAAATGCGTCTTCCGTTTTCAAGGGTCAGATATTATATGCCACAAATAATATTTCGAATGTTAGTTGGAAATAAAAAACGAATTTGAAATGTGTAAGGTATATATTCCCATTTTTTAAAAGATACTTCTTTGATATAAGGGAATTAACTTATACCTTAATATTCCAGTGATTACAATTAATTTCGCTCTCTGCAACCCCTGGAAGATGTCATGGCAAAATTGAAGCAATCTGATTGGTTCCTGTAGGAATAATAAAAAAAAAAAACCCTGACCAATCACAGACTGATACGCTCCTTTTGATGATTACAAAGAAGTCATCTGGAGATTCGTTCGATGTAAATCAAAGGAACAAATCAGTCTATCGTCTTGTCAACAAGGTCTCGAACATGAAACCTCCAATTTTTGCCATGATATGTGCCAGAGGTTCAGAGAGCGAAGGTGTCCTGGGGTATTGAGGATGCCAGGAAAAAATGTTGTTTTTTTTTTTTTTTTTTTTTGATTTTGTTTTTGTTTTTTTTTGTTTTAGTAGATACCTGGTCATCAGGTAGAGTAGATTTCTATGTCCAATTTTACTCCTAGAATAACGAGTGAATATAAACAGAGAAATATGTAACACTCGCGGACAGTCAACGACTTTAAGAATCAATATGACATATGTAACACTCGCGGACAGTCAACGACTTTAAGAATCAATATGACATATGTAACACTCGCGGACAGTCAACGACTTTAAGAATCAATATGACATATGTAACACTCGCGGACAGTCAACGACTTTAAGAATCAATATGACATATGCGACCATTCAAGGAAAGCCATGAACGCCATTTTGATATTTAATTTACAGATATATACATAGAGAACAACACTGGTCCCAGGATTGTAATGGGTAACAAATAACACTGTTTATTATCAACAATGTGGTTTACATTATATTGCGTATCCAGAGATCCCGACATTAAAATTAACGTAAAAATGATTTATCCATATAACACATTTTAAGCGAAAATTTGACCAGTCTACAAACCAAATTTGGTTCATCACAATAAAAAAATGCAAATATTTTACAGCAATAAACTACATTACATGTCTTAAAAAGAAAGAAAAAATAACATTGTCTGTTACTAACAATTCAAAAACATTTCTATAATTTTTTTTTAAAGTTTTGAAACATATTTTGTTACATAGAACGTTCTTAAAACTAGAAAAACATAGCGATAATG